CTGCAAATTTATTTACAATCAAAAACTGAAACCTCTCATTTATAAAAGTACTTTGACTCTTTACTAAAAGCAGCTTCAGTAGAAATTACATCTGTGAATCTTTTGCAGAAAGTCCAGGCTTTGCAAACCAGAGTTTGGCCAGTGTATCTCATTCTTCCTGGCAGATCCTGTCAAGTTTTGTCAGATCGGAGTGGAAGCGTTTGTGAGCTGCTATCTGCAGTTGTAACATACAGATGTCATATGTTTAAGTCTTGGCTTTGGCTGGGCCACTTGAGGATAGTCAGATTTGTTCTGAAGCCACTCCGGTGTTGTTTTAGCTGATGACTGTGGTTCATTCTCGTGGTGGAAGGTGATCCATCGCCTCAGTCTCAGGTTGCTGCACTCTGGAGCATATTGTCTTCAAGGACTTCTCTGTAACTGGCTGCATTCTTTCAGTTCTGACCATCTCCCTGACCCTACTGCTAAGAAGCACTCCTGTGGCATGATGCTTCCACTTCCATGCTTCACTGCAGGGATAATGTTAACAGGTGATGAGCAGTAAATGGTGTTTGTCAGTGGGTGACCTCTCTGACTGTGGACCCACTTGCTTTGTTGCTTTGTTTGTCCAGATGACTAACTCTAGGAATAGTCCTGGTGGTTTCAAGCTTCTCCCATTTCACATTTACTGAGGTCAAATGTTTGTGGCTCAACACAGCTTCACCATAGAATCCTACAACGAGTTCCTGGACTACATGGCTTTGTCTTGGCATGCAATATGAACTGTCGAATCTTATTTATGAGGTGCATGTTTTTTTAAGCTATATGTAATTCCTTCATTTTTGTCCCAGATAACGTCCAATCAAGTTCATATTTAAAGGATAATTAAAGTAAATAGAGTACACTGGACCACAATTTAAAATGCCACAGCAAAAGGTCTGAATACTTTTGTAAATGAGAGATTTTAGTGTTTGACTTTAAATTAATTTGCAAGAAATTCTAAAGACAGATTTTCACTTTTGTCATTTTGAGTTATTAAGTCTCGTTAAGTACAGATTGAAAGGAAAATGCAATAAATGTAAATGTGTAGACAGAATATTTTGTAATGCAACCTAATGTCATCTCAAAGCATTTACATAAGCAAGGTAAAAACTTAACAGTAAAACTGAGTGAAACCCAACAATACCCCCAAGAGTAAGTACTTGTTGACAGTGAGGAGGAAAAACTCCCTTTGAACAGGAACAAATCTCAGACAGAACCGGACTCAAGTTGTGCAGCCGTCTGTGTTGGTTGGCTGGGGTGAGACCAAGAACATCTGTGCATACTAAATTGTATTTGAGCACCATCAAACTAGTTGTTAAAGGGACAATAATTACAGTAATGATGCAGTAATCTGTAAAAATAACAAGACGAGTCAAAATTTTCAGCTAATCAATCCACTTTGTCAACAGGCTACTACATATATTATGTAAAGACAAATAGACAAAAACCAAAAACGTATTGACACATGTACATTGATGTACAATTTTATATTTTACTTTTATAAAATGAGTAGCAAGGTGCATTTATACATGTGTGAAAGCACTGTTCATCATTCACACTTAATACTACTTAAACTTGACTGTCCTTGCCTCTTATCAAAACTAGTTATCTTTAACCCTCTGAACCCCAAAACTTCTTTTTAAAAGAATGTTCTCTTTTTTAAAAAAAACTGCTGTGATCACACCTTTTTATTAGATCCAGAAACTGTATAAACAGAACATTGTCAGATTTTCAGCTTTCTGGCAATCTGTGAATCTGTGCTCAGTTGAGAAAATGATCCAAATCTAAGCTTAAAATTGTGATATTTGTCATCCTTTATAAAAATTCCACACATCTTTAGAAACAGTAAAATTGAATGACAGGACATGTCAGTGTGCAGTGAACATGACAGTTAGAACACAGCCGTGATTATTTATTTACTTTTTTTTATTTTTTTAAAAATCTGTAACATTATTTGGCTGTTTAGGTAAAATATGAAAGAAGGGCTTTGGAGGTCTTAGGTATGCATTTTTCCTCTCTGAAGCAGCAGGTGTAACAATATTAGCTTTGGTTTATGTGAACTCCCGACTGTTGGTATAGGAAGACGGGGGCACATCAAGAAGAGGGTTCTACGCAGCAGCGAAGGGGAAAGTGCTTTGGTTTTGTTTTGGAGGAATGAGAGAGCGATTGCATGTTTTTTTGGGTGTTGCTACAGTCATGAGGAGAAGCCATGTGATGTGGATGTGGTATTGGAGCATGTTTTAAAGGTGTGGGGGGGGAGATGGAGGTGGAAGAAAAAAGTGGGATATTGCATAAGTGGAAAGTGAAAAGTCCTCTGCCTGGCATGACATGAACATTCCTCCACCCACCCGATGTCCTCATTCTTGACTTCATCTCTCTCTTTTTTTTTTTCCTTCTGACAATAACTTAATTTTAAATTCTCAAGATTCATAAGCCATTTGTCCACCCTGCCACTTCTTTTCCTTTTTTTTCCTTTTCTGCTCAACTTTGATGTTATTCTTTTCATACACCTTATATCCTTGTGTAATTATATAACCACTGCCTAAATGGAATTCCTTAAACATCTTGGGGTATCACATAGACACCCAGGGGTCACACCTAAATTCTTATTTTAATGCTGACGTATATGCTGCTCTCACATCACTCCCCTCCATATAAGACCTTAAATTGAGAGGCCTGAGGAGTAGCAGGAGGGAGTTAGGGAGAACACAAATTGCATAGAGATCAGTGGCTGGGCTCAGCTCCCATCTGGTTCAAATCCAGGGGTCTCATTCTCACTGATTTCCCCACCATCTACCAGCATTAGCTCCTCCAAAGTGCAGCAGCTTGGACAGCAGGGCTTTGACCCAGCAACCAGGCAACAGGCCAGAGACAAGCTGGCTTCTAGGCCTTCGCTTCTAAGCCTGAGGATGTGGAGAGAAGACTGTGGTCCAAGCCAAAACTGAAATCTGTATAGATTGAAGGACAGAGAGTAGAGGGTAGGTGTTTAGCTGTCATATGACGGCTAGATTTCTGCTTGATACTCAAGATCTTAGAGGGCCACAAATAGCAGCAGATTGCATTTAATGTTCTGTAATGCAATGTAGAGCCATGATGGTCAGCTCTGAGTGTGAGTCACAATTATTCACTGAAATCATGCTGTTGAGATGAAAGACGCTTTGGCTGAACATTCTCATGCTTCTTTGTTGTCTCTGTCTGCATTAGACCCCCTTGAAATTCACACCCTTCAGATTTTTTCTTTTTTCCCTAAAACCACAACAATGCTGCTGCCGGTTATCCCATTGAAAAGGCTGGGTGAGAGATGATGTCATTCTTCATAGTGTCAAATACTTGGAATGTGGGCCACCTCAGCCCACCCTGACCAGCTGAATGGATGAAAACAAACCTTATGAATCTACTGGCAGGCTTTAAGGGGCCCCACCTCTGTCACCGGTGGCCATCTTCACTCTGGGGGGCCCGGGGGGCCCGCCACTTCTGGCTGACGTCATGGTAGCAAAACCATTATGATGAGATTAGTTTGAGCTTGAGCACAAAGCCCTGGTGCTATAGCCCCCTCATCCTATCTTCTTTTTTTAAATATTTTTTTTTATGCCCGTCCATTTGTAGACCCACATAGCCTCCGGGAGCCTGATCCCAGCACCGTCTCTTTTTCTATCAATGCAACTCGCGTTCTGTGTCCCTCCTTCATCTGACTCCCTTCCTTCAACCCTGATTTATCAATCTCTCTCTCTTCCAAGACTTTACTTTTCCTCTTTGGCACACAGAGACTCATTTCCTGGGCTCATATGCATTTCAAAAGGTGCAGGAGGCTCCTTGTACTAAGCTGAAGAATTGAGCAGAGCAGCAGGGTGAATATTAAAACACTCTGCTGTAGTCAGTGGAGACAGTTCTCAGTCAGATAGTGGGAAGTTTGGACAATTAAATGTCACTGTGTAAACTTGACTCATGCAGTGATCTGCAGTTGTTTCTGAAAAGTTTTGCTATGTGTTGTTAGAGGGGTCACAAAACAATAGTGCTTGTGAGATTGTGTCTTGAGGGATGGAGTGGGTGGTTATATTTAGTGGTGCTTGGTTATTGTGTTTGTTTGTCGTAGTTTTTCTTAACCTTCAGAAACCCCAAACCCACAAACAGGTTTGAAGGGCAAGTTATTTTTAAAGAAATGACTAAAATTCCACCATTTGTCACAGACAGAAAACTGTAAAAACAGTAAGATTTTGTCGTGGTTTGACGTCGTGGGGGGTTTGTTGGGAAAAATGACCAAATCCAAGTTTAAAAATGGGATATTTCATCACTTTATGCTGCATGTCCTCTTTTGACTTTCTGACTAGGTTCCATAAAAATCTAATAATTCTGCGCTCTTCAGTGCAATCTAGAAGCTATTCATGTCTGAGCTCTTTATGAATAGTAATGTGACAAAAACTTCTCAGACTTTTTGGCTGAACTGCAGGCTGTGTTTACACGGAACAGATAGGAGACAGGGATGAAAACAAATTAAAGCAGTAAAGTTGTAAAATATCTATAGTATGTGGAGTCAGTACTTTTTTTTCCCCAGTATTGGTAACACCTGTGAACACTTGGGAAATGTTGTACATGTTGACTGCAACTTTTTTCAGTTTTTGTAAAAATAAATAATCCAAGTTTCAAAATTCACCTTTCATTTTTCTGTTTTTACAACCCCAACTGCACAAACAACATTTTTGAGTTCTCTCTACGCCTAGCCATGGTTATGTGGTTTCCACAGAGGGGCAGGACTTAATATTGCTGGAAAAAATGACCCCACACTGAGTGAAAATGTGACAAGAGCAGAAAATACCTAGAAGCTGGTTGGGATTCTTATTGTTAATTATTGTTTTCTGCACATACATTTTTGACATGCCATAATGAAATATTGTCTGGTCCAGTGCAAATGTATTTGGATGGTTTGTGCGGTGGTATAGCAATGAATATTTTGAATACTAATAAATTCTCCCTTGTTGTTGCAGGATGAGCTGGACCTGACGGATAAGAACAGGGAGGCCATGTTTGCTCTGCCCGATGAGAAGAAATGGCAGATCTACTGCAGCAAGAAGAAGGTGAGTCGGGCTCTGCTGTGCTTTATCATACATCAGCTTCAATCTCTGGCTGGCCCTCTGTTGAATGGCTGCCCGAACCCACAGTTTAGAGCTAAAATGTCAGCAATGAATGTTATTGAAGGCAGTCTCTTACCATTTTGAATCAGCTCAGCCACACAGCCAGCCCCCTTTCCAGCGTCTCATTTCTGCATTGACGTAAACATATGCACATATTACCATCTCCAAATCTCCCTCCCCATGTTAGAGCAAGTAATTTCCTTGTGCCGTTTAAGAATTGTCATCATACCATTGGAGCACGAGAACATTCTGGTTAGCCCTCTCTTTCACCCCTCTCCCCTCGCCAAAACATCTCTCGTTCTCTTCATACCCTTCAGCGTGTCTCTCCACAACAACTCTGGTCTCACTTTGTGGTCAGATATTCACAAGGAAACGACATTGTGCTTGGAGAAAAAGCAGAATTAAGCCCGGACTCTCCCGCTCGATAGCAAATTGAATAAATAGTCATAAACCCTCCCTTGTGTCTCTTTGCTGATTTGTTTTTTTGTCCGAGGGTTTTGTGTTGGAAGCAGGATTAGACCACTCCTTCCACTTTCCAAGGCATGCAGGCTCAACTTAGCTGATGTGATATGCTCTGACAACCTTTTTAAACACACACTGCGTTTGTGTGTGTGTGTGTGTATGCATGCATGTGTGTGCACCTGCATGTGTAAAAGTTTGTGCCTGTATTCTGGCCAGTATTGAGTTACTAGGAAAAAGAAGAGCAGTGGAATTATGTGTTTAGAGGGATGTCAAGGCGAGGATGGAAGCTAGAGCACCACAACAGTTTACAATGAAATAGAATACGGGTAAAAATAATACAAGAGGAAGATAGAATCTTTCTTTTGATACAGTCTGATATTCTTAGTGTGCTGTGCCCTCTGATTACTCAGTGTAGTATCTAAAGGGGTTGAATTGTTGGCAGAATGTGCATTTGCTCATGTGAACCCACATAAAAGGCGCAAGTTCAATAATACTCCAATATCAGTTATTGAATATCTTGCTGCAGCAACCACAGACGTTTATGAGGACTCGCTGTGCTGGAGAAGAAGGTAGTGGAAACAAAATTTTGGCAACATCCTCGGCATATTGGAGCTAAAATGGTTTGCATTGTGCGCATAAGTCGGGTTCAGAGGTAGGATATATTAGTTTGTCATTCCTCCCCCATCTCTCCCAGTCAGAAATCATTTCCTCTGTGAAGCTGTAGTGAAAAAAAAAACTAGCCGTGTGTGCAGGCCAGGAAACGGAGCGCAAAGCCGGGGTAACAGTGAACAGCGGAAAGCCGGAGGAAAATCCAAACAAACCCCTCATTCATGGATAGAGTCGGCGTAATGGAGAATGAGGAAAAAAACAACTGGGGTGCAATATCAGATAATAACCTGCATGTGTGTGTCAATATGCAGACAGAGTCAGACAGGAAGACCCGAATACTGCCCTCACATGCACACACGCAAACATGAAGCATAGGAAGAAAAATGTGCAGGTTATTCAGACATAACCCACACACACGTACATACAGCACACAGTAGTGCCCTCTGTTGCTGAGAATTACAGCATGACAGTGATTTGAATGGAGAGCTAGGGACAGCAGAATTTCCCTCAGCAATTCCTCTCAGAGACGAACACTGGTTCCCTTGTTTCCTCCAGCCAAGCGACGGCTCCAGTTGTTGTGGTTAGATAACACTTGGAGGAGCCACTGAGGGCACGACAAAGGGACAAACTAACTTTGTTCACCTGCAAAACAAACTGTCCAACACATTTATTGCAAACAGCTTAATCTTTGCCAGGTCCATTTTTTCTGTTTAACATGATGCAGTTTGGTTTTCAGCTGAACTAAAGAGCTAAATGTTTTATGGTTGGTTGGTTGGTTGGTTGGTTGGTTGGTTGGTTGGTCCACTACTTCCTGGGACTTACTGAGACTTGCTGACAATTGACATTTCAGATACATAACTTTCTGTAGAACTGCAAAAATAAACTTAACAATCACTTTATTAGGAACTTATGTGCACAAAGGGTTATTCATCCACCCATCTATCAGTTTTCTTCTACTTATCTAGGGTTGGGTTGCCATGGTAATCGTTGAAGCATACCATTTCAGATGTCCCTCTCCTCAGCAATGCTTGCCAGTTACTCCTGGGGAATTCCAAGGTGTTTCCAGGCCAGATGTGACATGTAGTCCCTCCAGCAAGTTCAGGGTCTATCCTAGGGCCTCCGCCCAGGTGGATATGCCTGGAAAACCTCCAAAGGAAGTGGCCAGGAGTCATCCTAATCTGATGCCCAAACCATCTCAGCTGGCTCCTTTTAACACAAAGAAGGAAACTTATTTTGGTAGCTTGTATCTGCAACCTAATTCTTTTGGTCATCACCCAGAGTTCATGGCCACAGGTGAGGGTTGGAATGTAGATCGACTCATAAATCAAGGGCTTCACCTGCTAACTCAGCTCAATTTTCTCCACAACAGTGCAGTACATTGTACAATGAAGCTGCATTGTATCTGAAGATGCACCAATCCCTCTGTCCATCTGACGTTCCATTTTCACTTGTGAACAAGATTCCAAGAAATTTCTTTGGGGGAGCAACTATCCCCAACCCACCACCAGGAGCCTATCAGTTTCTAGGAGAGAGCCATGGCCTCAGACCTGACTCGTCCCAGCTGCTTTACACTTTGCTGCAAGAGACATAGGTTAGACCTGGACCCCCTCCTACCCCCAGGTGTGCCTTGAGACCCTGTCCATTAATATTGCAAACACTGTCTAATAGGCCAGTCATGTGCCAGGAGTGTCATGCATAAATGTATGCAGATATGAGTCAGGAGCTTCAGTTGATGTTGAAATGAAGATGGAATGATATTCTGGTGTGATGAGTCCCCATTTCTGCTACATGCAGATGACACGCTTTGGTGTCAACAGCATGAACCCATTAAGCTATCTTGCATTGTGTCAATGGTACAGGCAGGGGGTAGAGCACTGGTAAGGTAATGTTTTTCATGGCCCCCTTTGGCCCCCCAATCATTGTGTGAATGCCAAAGCCAGCCTTGTTGCTTACCAATAACCCTTTATGGCCACGGTTTACCACTGTCTAACTGATACTTCCAGCAGGACAATTAACCATGTCACAAATCTAAATTAATCTGAAGCCAGTATTCTTATAAAATATCCATCAGTCATTTGATAAGTGTGAATCAAACATCCAGTCTTGTTTTAGCACTCCCTTGGTCTCTGAAATTCAGAGAAAAATGTCTGCACCTCCAGCTTCATAGGTGTAGACTTTGTTTTCCAGCTAGTCATTGAGCTGTGAGACTGAACTGCACATTAAATGTTGCTGTTATGCCACATGCAATGAGCTGAAAGAAACTAACAAACCCCGTAGAGCTGAGTTAGCAGAGAACTATGTGAATTCAGCAGTACAACAGACCTTTTTCTCATTGCACAGAGTCATGTGATTTATTAATACACAAAAATGGATGAACTTTACTATTGAACTTCCAAACCTACAGAACATAGGAGTTACATGTTCAAAATTCAGATTCAGTAACAGTTTATTTGACACCTGCCTCGCTAATACAAGTGATGTCAGGGAACTGGTGTAAATATGGTATCAGTGTACCATGACTGACTAGGACATCTTGTTGAGGCATTATGTAAGCCAAGCATATCTGCACCTCTGATCTCAGCCACCCAGTCAGCTACAGCCAGGGGTGTTGGGTGTCTGTGTGTATGGTCATGTTAGAAAGACAGAGAAGGCTTCAGTCTTGCTAAGCATGAGAGTTAAGTGAAGGTTAGATATCGGTTTAGTGTACAGAACAAGTGAAACAGAGATGATGTGTCTCTGTATGAAAGTATTATATTCCTGGCTGTGAAGGTGTGTGTGTGTGTATGTGTTTGTATACTTATTTTTGCAATCGAGACTTGTGTCCAGCAGCCCCCAGGTACAGAACACAATGTAACATCTAATAGCTCCCGATAATCGTTCAGTGCTGGGAGCCAAACAGGGTCTCCTGACTCCCATTAGTTGCGCTGCACTGATACACAAACACACACAGAACGGCTGTGTTTTCAGCCCACAATCACACAGTATGTTCCGTTATCAGTGTCAAAACACTAACAAAACTAGCATTTATCCATTATTTACTGTCCTAAATTTCCATTAAAAGACGATTTTCTGTGTAAAGTCATCCAACCACTCATCTGAGATGCTGCGATAGGAAAGTCAGTGCTTAACTCAAGCTGACTGATGGTTCTGTACATACTCACACGTTGCTATCTTCTAAGTAGCAGCAACGTGTGTCTTTAATTATTAGCCTCATGTGCTTTATCCCCATCACCTAATGTGACGCCAGACAAAGACTTCTGTCTGTGTGCTGAAACTTGCTTTTATTGTTTGCTACCTGCAAAAGACGGCAAGTGTTACATAATCTTTCAGAATTCAATATCCTGTCCATTTCCTGCCTCTCTAGGTGAGACTTTATATCTCAGCTTTCATAGATAAATATTCCCCACGGACAGATTGGCTCTTTGGAATGTCGGACAATCCCTCTCATACCGCAGACGGGAACGTACTGTGGTGACAGCTGGAGCAGAGAATACGGAGAAAATATTGACTTAAATGACTTGTAGCGCGTCCCAGTGTCGAGCTATAACAAAGCGCTCATGTTGCCGAACAGCCCGTGTGCTGCTTCTTCTGCTGCACTTTACAGGAGGTATGGTGTGAAGAATTTCATGCAAGCAGTGGGCATTTTTACATTTAAACTTTTGTCTCTGGGCGAATTAAGCTAGATGGGCACATTTGTGCTTCATGATCTCATTTGTTTACATTTGGCAAAACCGATAAGATTATTTGAATTTTACCTAATTCAAAGTATGTGACTTACTCTGTCGTGATTTATGATTAACAGAGGAGTTTACATCTGAAATTTTAATTATGAATGCATCTGAAAATGTCAGTCTTAATCTTGTTTGGTTTAACCATCAGTCCAAAACAGAAATATATTTAATTTTAAATGATGTATAGCAAGAAGGTTTCCTCCCATGAAGCTGAAACCAGAAGATGGTTTCACATTTTCTTTTACTATATTGGCTTGATAAACCTGTGAAATGATTATTCAATTATTATGTAACTATAAACTATATAATAGTTGTTGTTTTAACTCTTTACAGAACAACACTGACTACAACTAATGTAATTCTTTTTTGCAGACTTTATCTTGCAAAAGAAAAAAAATCTTTTATTTAAATGCAGTCTTTTGCAGTCTACTCTTGTTTATGAAGTAGCCTTTGAATGAAGAGTATTTCATTCAGTATAGTGCTGCTTGCTGCTGTTGTCATGATTTTGGACAGCTCATGAGAGTCCCCACATTAAGGCAAGGGTCCCCCTGGGCCTCTCTGAGCACATGGGAACAGAGCGGAGGCGCCCGGCAAGCAGTCCAATTGCCTTAGAAACTGGAGCTTTCATGGAAACATGTTAGCATGTCTCTCAGAGCCAATGTATAGATTCAGGCACTGTCTGAGACTCAAAACAGTTGGACTACACTTCAGTGAGTGACTGTGCCAAGTTGGCTGCCAAAGCTAAGACAAAACGGTCGGAAAACGTGAAAGTGAAAATGTGCTGTTGTCAGATCTTTGTTGTGCAGAACATGCTAATAGGAGTGCATGTGTGCAGCAGGGTCATGTCCTGGCACATTTGATGGTTTAATGGACCTTTAATCATGAGAGCAATTTGTAGCATGGTATCATCTCTTTGTACCCTCTTTCTATGCTTTGGCTAATCATTGTCAATTGAGAGAACTTTTTAGAGTCAAGCAAACCTCCTATGACACTTCAAAGTGCTCTTGGTTTAACTTTTGGGTTTAGCTGTGGCCAGTTGAGTATGCAAGAATCTTATATGTGTGTAGGATTTTTTTTTTGCAATCTATGAGATCAATTATTAGTCAGAAAAACCTTGAAGGATGCTTGTTGAATGTCAGCAGGGCAGCTGAAATATGAAATTTCATCTACTCTTTCAACAGGTGCCTCTGCAAACACATTGTCTTGCCAAACAGACGGAAATATTTTTCAATACTGACTTTAGTCAGGTATTTGGGTCTTCGGAGAAACAATATATTCCTCAACAGATGGCTGTAACAAGAGGAGCACCTTACAGACATATACCTGATACACTGCTGGGGATTCCTGTTCTCCTTTGGTGCAACCTGGATTGTAAATCATATTTAATGTCACCAGACATGAGGAATGTGTAGTGTAGGTGTGTAATTGTTACAACAGAATGATGGGGTTGACCTTAAACTGCCGCAAGTGAGCACGCGACTGGAATGTTTTCACCCAGAAGAGAACCGTAAGCAGAGGTTCACTCGTATATGTAATAGAATAATCACACGCACATGCAAATGTATACATATAATGACAAACACAGTCTTTCTATTCATATCCACAGCCTGCTGTTTGCACTTTCCATTTGTAACAAGCACCACTCCATGAAGTCTGGGTTCTTATCACAATATCACGCTTTAATACCAGTCATCAACTGTGATTAACTCTCAAACTGGCTTGATCAAGGAAACAGCACACAAGAATCAACTAACCATCACTTCACCTCTGAGAGCTTCCATTAAAAGGGCAGAAATTCAGGAAGGGTATGGACTGATATGACTTGGACCCCCAAAACAAACCTTGTGCAGTCACCGTTTTTCATTTGTACCAAAACACGAAGAAAATTACAGTACTTTACTCCAGCTCGTGAAACTGCCAAAATAAATGTTGTATTGGACTCAACATGTTTTTGAGGGCGTGTCGGCAACTGTAATTCAGTTTAAGGGTCAGAGTGAGGCAGTTAAGTTGTTAATCTCAGCGTCAGGATCTGTCTGGCATCACAGTCTGAGCATGTGAGCAGTATAGTGGAAGTGCTGGCCAGCTTGCAAGCACAGGTTGAGCAGTATAGTGAGTTGTATTGTTTTCACTTTAGCTCTTTAGCTTGAACCCACATGTTGGCACAGAGTGCTGGAGATCAAACCCAGTGAGCATCACAGGAACTAACATCCACATTGACCAAATTTACACTCAATCCCCCAAAGCTGTAGTGCTGCTGCTTGGGTGCATATAATTCATCAATTAGAGGAGTTGCTGATTTGGCAGCTCATTTTTATGTCCCCGTTTGAAGGTCATTTGGTTAGTACAGACACTGAGAGGATAGCATGTCTGAGGACAATCATCTCTGCATTTTCTGGTCGAAGAATGGAGTTTGTTTGGCTTAATCAGCAGAAAAGGTAATTTGCTTTTTGCATAATGCCACCATGCAAATATGGAAGCAGCATTTTAAAATATGGAGGAATTGGGTCGCATAAAATATTGAGTTTCCATATCAAGAAGGAGCACAAAGAGAACTGATGAGCTCTTGCTGCGACACGAATGCCCTTGAAGAAAATTAGGTTTTTAATGTAGAAATAGTGACATGACTATCTCACAAGTAATCTCCTTGCAAAGTGTTTACTTTTTGCTTATTATTCTAAACAGGTGTACTGTCATGCGGTGTTTTCTTTATTTCATTGTAGTCTCACATAAAACCATTTCAGCAGATGGATCCAACTAACTCTTGCTGTCTGTTCCTACAGCTTTATGCAAGTTTTAGTAGCTCCATGTGCAGGGAATCTGAACCTCTCTAGTGTCTATAATATAGCATTAGCACTCAATAAATGACATACGAAGAAACAAACTAAGACTTTGGAACCCTGAGGTCACTCATAGCCCTGCCTTCTCGGCCTTTTTTGGGGGAAAAAAACCCCCAAAAAACAAGTATTTTTATTTTCTATTTTTTATTTAGCTTGAATTTTTGTAGCAGAAGTTTAATTTATGACATATGTAACGATTTAAAGTACACTTAAAGCGTTGGCAAAGAGTTCCTGTAACTTGTATGCTACAAAACGATTCAATTTTGAATTAATGTGGCATACTCTAACTTTCCAACTCTCGTTTGCATGCACAGAGTAGCAAAAACAATAACACTCCACCAGTGCTCTAAGCCTGGGCTAAACATGACCAGATGTGAGTGAAGAACATGGTCTCTGTATTCCCCCGTGCCTTGGTTGCTCGTGGCATCACGCTTCCCCGGATTGGTCAGGACAAATTGATCACAGGCAGAGCGATTTGAAAACTATTGTGCAGCACACTTCCTTCCTCGAGGCAGTTCTTCTCTCTCTCTTTCTCCTTCTCGGTGTAATAAAAGCTAAGACAACTGAATAGTCTGAAATGTTTTGACCCAATTATTATGGACTGAACTGCCTGATCCATTTAATCTTTGAGTGGATGTTGAGGTAAGAATGGAAGGTAAAAAGGAAGGAGAGCATTTATGAAAACAAAAGGTCAGGGCACCAGCATAACCATTAGATGGGAGGTGGTTTGTATTAATGGGCTTCTGGATCTCTGAATCGCCATCCACAATAAATGTGTCCAGAAATTTGAATGATGGGAAAAAGGAGCGTAAGATGGACAGACAGTTTGGTGCACCATTAGCAGTGATGCAGGCATTGCACTGTGCACTGTGGTATAGGGATTACATATCTCATGTGGCCTGGGAACGTCTCAGGATCCCCCAGGAGGAATTTAAAAAATGTTGCTGGAGAGATCTCTGAAATCAGTTTTTAAACCAACATGTTTCTTTGATCAATATGTCAAACATCAACTGTTTTCAGTCACTCCTAATTCTGGTGTCAGCTGAAAGTGACATTGGCAGAATAAGTGCTGATTCTGTAACACATCTATACAGACATAACCCCATTCCAAATGATGAAACACCCAACATGAACACAATGTCAGGCTTAATAAATGAACAAAACAGAAACACCAACTGACTCTAATTAGGTCCACTTCTGGACTCTGAGTATCCATATCAAGCTTCTTGAGAACCTCCCTAGTAGCTGTCAAAATATGTTAGATTAGACAGTCATGCCAACTGGCTGACATCCAAAACCTCAGTCAAGAATAAACAGACGCTGAATGTTTGCATCATGGTGAATGTAATGCAAACTTCTGATTGTGGACAGAATTGAACAAATAAGCTAAATGTGTTTCAACCTGCACTGTTTATTTACCGACACATCATCATAACTGTAACTAAAGATTTAAAAAGTGATACTTTATGTGTTTGTTTGACTCTCTTTGTGTTTATGTGCAGGAGCAAGAGGACCCCAACAAGTTGGCCACCAGCTGGCCCGACTACTACATTGACCGGATTAACTCTATGGCGGCTGTAAGTCGAACTCATTCTCTGCTCTTTCTGTCTGAATGTGTCCCTCCTTCTGTTTAAAGGAATATTTTTGTCCTCAGCAACTTTAAACATTATAACGGTATACTGCACTTAATTCAAGAATCTGAGTGCTGCACCCCAAGAGGTCACTGCTCGCTCAGTCATTCTTTCTCAAACATCTTTCTTGGCAAGCTTTATATCGTCTCCCTGCTGACTCCTCGCTATATTCACATGACCACATTCCTTCGCGGTGACCCCAGTATTCACACACACACTGTGATGACAAACAGGCCATTTAGACACTCACCAGTTCAGTCAGTGAAAATGACTGTCAGAAACACGGAGTAAAGCCAGAATGACAATATTCATTATTTCTAGCTTGTATGGCTGCCAATAACACAGCACGGTACCTTCATAGATCTCTCTTCTACTATGATTTCAGTGTCATTTTAGACATGAGTGCTGTTATGCGATGTTGTATTACTTGATAGAGTTGGCCACTGATCAGTTAGTGTCAGTGGCCTCTGACCCCGAGTCCTCATGTGGACGACAAGTCGGCTCCCGAATGTTTAGAGATCATAAAACATGACGTTTTAATAGGAACCCTTAAAGGATGACATGTAAGCACGACTTTTAGAGACTAGCAAGCTTCAGTCTTGCAATTCCAACAGTCATGGGTTCCACTAGAGTTGTTGTTTTTTCCTTCATTTGGCCAAACAGTCCAACATTTAATACATTTACAAGTCTTCCAGGCCACGGATGAAATACACTATTCAACCATAACTTACGCAGACCACCATAAACATAGAGCCAAAATCTAATGGCATTTAATATCTGTTTATTGCCATGTTGTTTGTTTTTTTGGAAAATACACATGTAGCAACAACCCATGTTGAAGGTTGCTATTTTTACAGCTGTTTTTGTTTACCGGCTCCACTCAGGGGACAAGAATGAGCTGCTTCTGTTACGGCACATCGGTACCTGGGCTTAGTGTTCAAGTCTGGAGAAACGATTTTACTGTCAGTCTCTTAAAGGCTCAGACAGCTCTCGCACAAACAGTGTTTTAAGTGTAGCATGGAGAAATTGCTGATTTGTGAGTTGCCAAGAATTTGAAATCCACCAGGGCTGCAGCGGAGCCTCTATGCTATTAGGTGTCAGACACGCTGCCACAGTTATGTTTTTATCTCCTGCAAAACACACTGAGTCTTTGCAAATCATTCCTACATAGTCTGCCGTATAATATATATAGTTTTTAAATGTTGACATGTGCTTAAACCAGTATTTCCACTTTCTTCTTGTGGTTTCACTTGTTCCAGACATGTTCTAGAAAGTGTCAGTATAAATAATTGCACTAATATCTGAGGGGGAAACTTGTTTCTAGCATGTATTCGCATTGGAAGCAACTGAAATGATGTTATATATTATGCCAGAGGTGGTTTTACTTGCATAAAGATTACGATTTTATGAGTCTATAATACATTTATTTTTGCAGTCTCTATTCCTCGTTTTGCACAAGTAGTCTCTTGTTCAAGCCCCACTTCAGGCTCCATTATTCACCATAACTCAGGCCAATTTCCTCCCCTTCCCAAACTGTTTTTTCATCTGCACTATCAGTCTTCCATTTGCTCCACCACAGTGCTCCAGACAGCATCTTCACATGAGAGCATTTTAACATTTGGAGGAGCTCTGCTCTGTCCATGACTTCATGTCTTGGCTCCCAGGCGAGCTCACGAGGGACAGCCCCTCCACAGTAGCTGAGTTATTGGATGATCTCATTTTCGCTTTGCCGCCCGGAGAGATTACTGTACAACCAGCATCTTGATGTTCATTCATAAAATCATGTCAGAGCCCTGAGGTTGTTCGTTGGCCACGGAGTGATAAGTCAAACACCCTCGTGACTCTGACAAGAGTTTCTGTAGTCCTGCTGTGTCCAAGCTAGTGTGTGGCGCTTCAGAGCTTCAGAGGTGATGAGAAACACTTCTCAGTGTCGCCAGTGATGAGAAGAATCTCCCAGAAGTGAGCAAATTTGCAGTTTTATAATGACAAAACAGGGACTCAAATCTGTCTCTCAAAATGTTAAAAGTGTTTTCAAACAATAGCAATTGGCAATTTATTTTGTTTAGATGCTTGTTTAGTGAAGACTGGTTTGATGATTTATGATATTTCCAAGTAAATTTATCACAGCATAGAAGCATAATCAGTTTTACCAGTCAAAGCAAGTCACCATTATTTATATAGCACATTTAAAATAACAGCCGTGGAGCCAAAGTGGTTTCTTATAGAGACATAAGATTGGCATTATATTAACCTCACATGTTTACACATAGAGGTTAAGACCCCACAGTGTTATTTATGAGGTGAATTTGTCTGAAATCATAAACTAAAGTTCAGACTCTACAAAAGAATACGTGGGAAATCCAACAAATCTAAGGATTTTTAATCTTTGGAATCCTTGGATTCTTTGTTCAGTTTTCAAGTTTTTTAGACTATTTGATTACCTGGGATGAGTGAACAGTGTTTTATTTGCATTTTATCTAAATGTGAAACATTACATTTAAGAATAAACACTCTGGCCTTTATTAATACTGAGGTAACATGACAGAAAAGGAGCAATGCTTTTGTTATTTGCAGTTATTTCCAATCCTACTTACGAGCTGCATGGCAAAGCTGTAAAAAGAAAATGTTGTTAAAAAATAAATAAATAAAAATAATGAAGTATAGGACCAGTTTTAGTCTTTATTCCCTAGTTTCATATTAGCAATAAGATACAAGCTACTTTTCAGGTAGTTCTTTGTCAGTTTACCTGACCTTTGGTTTAGTGGCCATTTCTGACTTTGCTCTGCTCTTTAAGTAAAAAATAATGTTGTTTGTCTTCATTTGTATTCAACTAATTCCTTTTTACTGGGTGCATCAGTGATCCACATGGTCCAAATTAAGATTTTGATGAGCAGCACTCATCGCTCAGTTAACAATGCACTGATGACTAGCTCGAAGGCATATTTCTGGCTCAGGGGGGCATTTCCCATAATAAAGATTTAGGGTAGGACCGTCTGCTGGTTTACCAACCGGCTGTAATGGTATCCTTATGTGCGTGTTGGCCACAGGTACGAATGAGCTTACAAATAGCAGATGTAGGAAGGAGTCATTTGGCTAGACTCATTGACACAGTGAACTGGCTCGCAGCACGAACGAATCATTCACTCTCCCCAACACTCGTTGTGTCCAACTTCCCATTGACTATGAACATATTCATTTAGAGCAACAGGAGCCAGAGCCTTTTCTTCTTGGCACTGGGTTCCTGAACCATCTGGACTTGAGGCTAAGTTGACATGATGGATGTTTTGACTGCACTGTTTCTAGATTAAACACTCTCACACACTGGACAGACCAGAGCTGTTGTTGGGTAGTCAAACATGGGGTCAGGCTTCAGTTAGCTGTGTGGCAGGAGCTATGAGCTATTGGTCCACAAAGTTCTTTCTTGTTATGGAATATTTGCACTTGGATGTCCATTTTAAGGATTGGAATACAGGATCACATTTAAACATATATCGGTTTCAGACAAATTAATGGGCCGCACTATGACTAGCTTACTGAAACATACATTGTTTGAACCTTAGCACTTGGCAGAGAGGTGCCATGCATGGAAAAAGCCTAAATAGAAGCCCTGTGGGCCTGAGTAATGGGAGCACAGCAGCTCTTCTATGCTGCTGACGAAACTCTTTAAGTGATGCAGAAATGCATTAACACCGCCACGGTTTAAAATGTTTTTTTATAATTTGCACTATTTGTTGTGAGCTTGATTAGAGCTAATTGTCTGCATGCTTTATTTTGGCATGTTGTGTAGCTTCAAAGAAGGGAAAATACACAATCTGTTTGATTTGTGGTGCCTGGAACACTAGCCTACTAATGACGCTCTGATTACATGTACAGTGCTGCTAGAACTACCTGAAGCAACCGACTCACGTGTAAAAAAGGAAAACATGTGCTGCTGCTGTCTTAATGCTGCCAAATAAAGATTAACATTCTTGTGCTGAACCAGTAGAAACAATGAAAAGCTCCTAATTAAAAATGAAAAATACAGAATAAATGCCAGCAGGCAGCATGTCCAGTGGCCTCGACTGTAACATCATAATCCAGCAATATGAATCAGTCATTTCTCCGCTAAACTGCATCTGCTTTTCTCACCACATCTACAGATGCAGACCCTGTTTGCCTTTGATGAGGAGGAAATGGAAATGAGGAACAAGGTGGTGGAGGATCTGAAGACAGCACTTCGGACTCAGCCAATGAGGTGGGAGAATCTCGCTGTCTAACTATCTCTGACCTTCTCCTCAGCTCTGAGCCCGTCACTGTATGACTCTCTTTTAATCATGCATTCCCACACTGTGACGTTTTGAGGCAGCATCACACTACGCTAATTACAATTCATAATGTAACATGCCATAGTATGGATTTACTTTTCAAAAAGCTCCTGCTTATTACTTGCAACTGAAACACAACCAATTTAGGATATTTTTAGACCCCCACTTTTCCTTTCTCTTCCCCTGATATGTTCATCAGCAGCTGTTAGGCCTCACTCATCACCACAAAGAAACATTCAAGGACATTGCACAGCCCGCTAATACAAACCGCCTCCCTCTCCCCGTCAGCAGCTCCTTTGGAGCTGTCCATCAGCCCATGCCAGTGGCATGATGCACTGGTCTGGACCAAAGAGGGAGTGTTGAGTTTTCTCAAGGGGAGCTATGAAGTGACAGACTTAATGTGCAGAGTGACGAAAACTCAGGGCAGCTTCGATGTCTGGGTCACGTCTGGGTTGTGAGGGTGTGTTTGTAGGCCAAGTGTGTGTTTGTATGGTTGTGTTTTTTGTGTTTGTGTATTTGTACCATGTGCACATGTGTGGGTCTTAACCAGAAAACAAAGATCAAGGCTGGTAGTAAGCAGCCTTTAGGGTCGAGACGAATAACAGGGCATCGATTGAAAGGGTGCTGTTTCTGGCCTTAGAGGTGGAGTTTGTGATTCTGGAGAAAGATTGTTGATATTTAGTGAGCTGCCATATTTATATTGTTAGCATGGACCAGATTTATCGTCCTTCTTGCTCCAACTGCCCCCACTCCACCCACCTTCCATCCCCCTCCCTTTCCCCCTGCACTGTACATGAGCATGAATGTGATGAATGTGCACCGGACATACTCGAGTGGCGCTGTGTGGATTGGTTTGAGCCACTTTGTTCCTATTGACAGAGGTAGAGCTTTTAAGGAACACTGGATATTAGAATGGAAAGCTAGCGTGCCGTTCATATTCATTGAATTAGTCAGAAAGTGTACTGAATTGGAATTGCTGACTCTACCCTAAAACATACCTTTTAATTACAGATGTCATGTTACTAGATATTAGGCAGTTGGCTCCACTACGATTAGTCAGACGACTGACTCAGCTGATGGAGGACGCGGGATGCCATTGGCTGCTTCTGGCAGATGGCTTTCTTCACTCCTTCTGCCATCTACATGTAGTTGTGCAGTAAGACAGAGCTGATGGTTATTTTTTCGGCGGATTATTCATTTTAACGAGAGTGCTTGTCTCCCTGCATGCAAATTATTCCACTCGTCAGTATTGTGAGGGAACACCGAAGCTGTGTTCCTTGCTTAGTCTTGCCCAAGACGACTGTGATTGCTTTAAGGAAATACAAACAAGCCAGACCATTTTTTTCCTCTATTGCAGACTGATAGTGAGGTGCAGCAGGACCATTCTGTACAGGAAAGACATTCTAATTAGTGGAATAATTATAAGTAGAACTACATGTACTTTATGTCTTTACCTTCTGTTGCAATACATACATGTAGATACAACCCTAAGACAACTGAAATATTTATTGCAAAGCGATGTCACAATTTTCCTTTGTTAGAAACGTCAGGGAAGGCATAGAGTGCTGCAACAGGTAGGAAATCATCTGTATTTAATTACATAATACAAGAACTCTTTGAGTGTGGGACTATTTTAGTTGATTTGAGGTGACCGTTTTCTGAACATTGCTCATTTGTGAATCTGTAATTTTAGTACCTCTGGGTAATTTTGCAAGAATTCTAAAGTGTTAAAGGAGGCAATCTTTCTCTGGATTTTTAAAATAATGAACAGAGTTATAAGTGCTTTTTTAAGTCAGCAGCGACTTGTTGCACTGCACAGTTTGAGCGGTTAAAACTGTTAATACAATGCATGATGGAATATTTTTTTTGCTAGTTTTTGACAGCATGTAGAAAGGTGGAATAACTCCTGTACAGTTTCAGATTCTCTAGGAAAGTGGTAATTATTGAGTTGCACTGTTTTTGATAGTTTGATGCTCTTTTTTTACTCTGTCTTTCTCTCTGTCTGGACTTATTTTATAAAAATCACTTAGTGACCACTGCTCAGTGATGCATCTGCATCCATGCTGTTCACAGAGTGAGTTATTGCTCATTAGCACACAGATGTTTTCAGGCACTTTAACAGTGATGTGGGTAGCAGGTGTGTCCCACAGTATACGGGTGTTCAGGGAGAGCCAGGGCAGTGTGTTAATATCCCGCCTCTGTGACAAATGGGCGGCTAAGGCAAAAAGATGGCATTGTGCTTCGATGTCTGGGCGAAATCTAAGCAACTCGCCTGCTTAATGTATCATTTCTGTGTCCCTTTGTGCGTTTGTATACTGTTTACGACCACATCTTGTGGGACATGGTGGTCTCTGTCTGTATTCAGCTTTGATTCATGGCTGCCTTTGGATAACTGCCTGAAACGGCCTCCCGCCCTCACTCCCTCTGGCATTTTAGAGAGGCAGCTGGGCCTGCTTGTGAAGAGGTGTCCTTGTTGCCCTCAGCCCGCTCTGCAGGGCCACAGCACCCAAACACATGGTGTGCATGCAGGGTGCCAGGCAGAGCGCACAAAAGCAGCACATTGTCAGCAAGGCTAATGCTGTTGTCACTTTCACTCAGAGGCTGATTATGTGTTATTGAAACGACAAGGTGCCATGTTTGACATGTTACTGTATATAGAAGGTGATGTGGACATGGACTGCAAAGTTATTTAAAGGCGTGCATGACCTCCATCACTCCATCCCCACACATTCTGTCCATTGTGTGAAACTGTAGCGCTTCTTTTGGTTTGTAAAGTCTAAAGTTTAATGATCCTCATTCCATGTACGATTACATTATGGATCTGAGTTGTTAGCAATTTGTTGTTCTCACATTGTTGCATTTTGAAAGTTTTTAGAATCATGAATCATCTTCGGACCTATAAGATGCACAAAACAACATCAAGTTACCACTTTTTGTTAAACCTGTAAATGATTGATCCTATAAATTGATGTATTATCACATTTCCAGTACAGCTATGATGGAACAAATACAAAAAGAGTCATAGGGTTGTTTGTACAAGAATTCACTTCTATAAATAAATGTCAAATGCATTGTAGGCAGGTTGATGTCAAAGCTGGTACAACAAAAATGAAGTCACAGCACCCTTCTACAGACTAACCACAGGGTATCACACAGTGCCTCCCAGTGAGAGGAGGCAGCAGGCAGCCAAACCCTTGCTGTGAGTGATTCTGCACTTAATTTGCTGTTCACCGGAAATTGTTTCAATAGTTCTAATCATTCAACTAATTTAATGTCCCAGACGTCCGTTTTCAAATATAAATGTGAATAATTCTGAACAGCCATAAAAAGAGAGCACTTGGAAAATTGGCAGAAGTTTTCTTTCACTTTAATTTGCATCTTATCTCATTTTCTTTGCCAGCAGTTATTGCGTTGTTTACCAGCTGTCAAATGGGCCTTGAAGCATCATGCTGGGGTTGTGTATTTACTCACGTAAAGCCGAATCTCAACTCAAGTGGGCGTGTGAGGGCTGATAGGCAAACACAAACTGCTACAGCCATGTAGTCTGGTGTACTTTTCAATTTAGCTTCCAAATATTTAAATACCAACACTCACTTGCGGTATTTTAACTATGTAGTTAAGTGTGCTTACATAAAAACCGTTGACCTATTGAGTCATCCGCACATCTGCACTGATGTTTATATTGGTGTTGGTGAGCGTGCTGTGTTTGCATTCTTGCATCTAAGACGTGACACCCCTCAATCACTGTCATCTCTGTTGCGAAATAACTGCAGGAGGACAGGAAACGGAGCCCTCCGGGAGGTCACCGAGGCCGTCCTGGCCCAGAATGCACTGCAGTCCCAGGCTCATGTCAGTAGAGCATCACAACGCTTCCCAAGACGGCTCTCTGGACATTGTTTCTGCAAATCTCTTCCAGCAAGAATATTTACTTGAGTCGACTGCAGCCGTTCGCCCTGATCCTATGTCAATAGTTCCTTGGATGATTCGCTACCAACACATGCAAATATTATCCTTCAAAACATTTTTCCGGCAGATCTATCAAAGGTTCCGCGTAACACAGAGAGAATTTTATATCTGTTTTCACATTACCAAACGCATTAGTGGGGGAGCAGAGTATCATACCTTTAAAAAGTCTTGGATTGAGCGATGTGTTTGCTTCTCTCAGAGTGCAGATTTCTCCCTCTTGGTATTTAGCAGTTCAGGGGGAAATGGAAAGAAATATTGGCCAGGTAAGTGATACAGGCAGATTTAAAGAGGACGTTTGTGTTGTAGTGGCAATAAACAGATGGAGACTAGAAAATGGTGGAGTTAAGCACAAGGGTCAAACTTACTTTAATCCCCATTAGGTCTGGCTTTCATGTAATTACACATATCCTCTTTGGTCTTGCTTAAAGAGACAAAACAGTTGCATTGTGGGTAACGTCAGTGCCAGGTTTTGAACATATTTCTTGATCTGCTGCATTAGTTAAGATCACCTTTGTATTTAACTGATTCTGGCAATGTCGCGGTAGTGCACTGCAATGTGTTTGTTTCTGGCATCATCAACAAATCACAGGAGTCTTTCTGGACACGTAACCCACTTGAGACTAATCCTGCATTCCAAATGGTGTGCTTTTTCTGTTTCCTGTCAGTACGTAATGCAGCTGCTCTTATAAAGTACTTCGGGTTGCATGCAGTACGCACACAGTTGGGACATACTACTTTGCACTACTGCTTTGCTTTGCACTGCACCTCAAATACAAAAAAATATATTCAATTTGGAATCCAGGGTGCCACTTGAATCAGCTGTTATCTGTCTGTGTGCTTTCAGCAGCTCAAGCTTCTTTCTACTAAGACACACTGATGTATATTACGTATCCTCGGCTGCAGAGGATTGTGGGTTAGAATGGCCAGAAAAGCTTGCACATTGCAAAAATGCTGTAAAGTGCATCCATATATATAGTGAGACATCCTGGTATTTTTGCCAATTACATTTGAGATGCTAAGCATTACTAAACTAGAAGTACCCTAGTGACACACACATACACATACTGGCTTGTTCCTGTGGATTTGCCATAAACATAGTCCATAAGAGCTGTTTCTTCCATTCCATGATATGCTATACATATGCATATCACAGATGTACACCTTGGCCAAGAATTTTATTGTAATCTGTGTATATATGTATGTGTATATGCATATGTGTGTGTGTCAGTTTTATGTACGTTGTCCTTTGTTCAACCCTACTTTAGCACAGATATACGCGGGGCCTCACATCAAGGAAAATGTATTTGAGTGAGTGCCATGTTGATATCCAGTGACTTTTCCTCCATGCCCTGCAGACACCTCGGTCGGCGGCTTTATTCAGCACCTCCTGAGCTCTCATTCACATTCTGGCCCTTTTATAGCAAAACAAAACGCGTGTGATTGCATTTGCGTGTCCCTGTGCCTGGATGTAGGTGTCTGAAAGTGATGCTAAGTGTGTGCGAACGTGGTGATTGGATGAAGGGCAGAGGAGAGGCAGAGAGCACATGATGGCTTGTGTTTGTGTGTATGGAAGTGCTGGCCTTTGATAAGTTTGTGTGGTTTGGCTTTGAGGCAAGACTGAACTCTGGGCCGACTGTCTGCCACACAGGGGTCACCCCCAGTTCACAAAGGCAGAATGTTTTGCCTTTGCAGCTAAAACCTCAAAAAATACATTTGGTTGGACTGAAGTTCTGAATTTCAATTTGGGCATCTGGATTAGTTTTCCACACCGTCCTGCTCATTAAGAATATCGCCTGCCTCTGGTTGTGGGGTTTTACGCTTTTTAGATCAATGGAATTTACATGACCCTCAGTGCTTTTTATTTAAAGATGGCTAACTTGCAATGCTGACATTCATTTAATAATTTCAAACAAAGTAAATATCTTAAGGCTTTATTCAAATTTTAATCTGCGGTTAAACTAACATCAGCTTTCACCAGCCTTGGCTCCGACTTAACATACGCTGAAGTCTTTTTTTTTTTTTTTTTGCTCTACTGTCACTTTTGTTTAGTCTCATACCACTCTGAGTTCTATTCCTCGCTTCTTTCTTTTTTCTGTCTGAGGATCTTTATGTGTGTGTGTGTGTGTGTGTGTGGTTGGCTGAGCCTCAGTATTGTTCGGCAGCAGCTCTGTCTGTGCTCATATCGTATGCAGCAGTTGTTGAGCTCTCGCTGTCTTGAACCCCAGCGGGTTTTAAAGTATTCAACGCTTGTTCCAAAAAAGAAAAAAGAAAAAGACCTGCACACTAGTCGGCTGAGCGTGAATGTCAGTGGGTAGGAGAAGACAAGAGGGGACTACAGAGTCAGAGGAGATGGGATCGATTCATTCAAGTGCTCGCTGGAGAGAAAATGAAGTATGGAGAAGGAGGAGAGAGTTGGTGGATGTCGGCTTACTAGGTTGTGTTAACAGAACAGAAGATTAGTCCCTGTTCAATGCCCTTTGGGGAGCCATGCATATATGTTTGTGGGGATTTTTCACGTGCATCTGTCCATCCACTTCCCCTGTAAAAGCACATGCATGCGCCTAAGTGTTGGGTACGTTGTGCATGTTTCTGGCATGCTGTCGACAAATCAGCAGTGTGAAGTGAAGAAGGCAGTGAGCGAAGCCTTGAATCCCAGCCACCCTTTTAAAACCAAACTCCAAGAACAACATCTGTCACCCGCTGCTTTCCATACATTAATCACAAGGATGTTCAGCGTAATTTCTCTTCCAGTATGAAACCTCTTTCTCTGAGGTGGCCCCTCAATTCATGGACAGGCATATCGCTTTAGCTTGCCTGCTCTGCCGGCCAATGACTTGTCACTGATATAAAATGTGTAACTTTAATAGTTGGATCAGTTCTGCCTTGCTCTAGTTCCAGTGTCTGCTTTACATCTGAATCAAGTCATATCTAATATATTGGATTTATTCTTCGCCACCTTGGTGCTGAGTGGAGACCGAGACTGCAGCGTCTGTGCTCAAACAAGAAGCACATTGTCTGCTGAAAGGTCGTGTGTGTGTAATCTTTGTGATTTCTATGCATTGTCAAGAAAGGTTGACTGTTTGCATGCTTGCATGTAGGATGATGTTCTTGAGCTCATTCAGGCGCTGCTGGAGATCAGAGGATTATATGTCTTTAAGAGATTTAGTGGTTGTGCCAGGTAAAGTTTATGTGTGCAAGTATGTCAGTGCTTAAGGAGGCATCTGCTTGAAGTCTGGGACTGATTGTGTGTGAGCAGCAGAAGAGCCGTGGCCTCAGTGTACAGGATAATAATTAGATGATTTACATTTCTTTGCATTGTGTTTTTTTCCACGTTTCCTCGAGCCAAGACAGCAGTAGGAGGGGGATGGAACTTGGAGCGCATACTTCTAACAGTGTCAAAACAATGTATCTGTTACAATGACTGGCAATAAATCTCAGCCCCTTTTGGCAGCCTCCCTCTCCCTTTTTCCTCTCTGTCCCTTTCACTTTCCCACTCCATCCTTCTTTTCTCATCATCTGCGTGTCCTTGTGTCCTGCCTCGTCCTCTCCTTACAAGTCCTCATTTGTTTGAGATCATTTATGAGGCCTATCAGGAATCTTAGCGAGTGGGAAGGTCATTTACAACACAGCCCACACTGTGCTCACTGGATGTGACATCCTTCAATGCGTACACGTCCAGTCTGCCACTCAAGCGCTCTGCTTCTCTCCCGGAGACGTTAGTGACTCACTGCTCTGTAATTAGTTCAGCTAATGAGGGCTGGCAGCAGGAGTCCGGGTGGACTCGGAGTGTGAAATGTTGAAGTTGCTGCATAAAGAAGCGATTGTTGTTTAGTCCATGTTGATGATTTTTTAAAATTCAAATGAAGTGAATGAATAAATGACGTGTTGGCGTGCCCAGGCTGAGAGGGTGGAATAAGATACAAGCAGCATCAGGAGAAATCCATCCTCTACAGCTTCTTTTTCAGCAAACTTGTTCAAATCCATCCATTGTGAATCCACAACTTTGTGGATACAAAATACTAAATCACTGGAGTGGAATTGCAGAACTCATGGAATTAATGAACTCTTATTGCTGTTGTATTTGTAAATTTAGTACTTCTGGATATGGATTATTGGTTGGACAGAAGTGAACAGGAGATGTCCCCTTGAACTCTAGGAATAACTAGGTGTATGAAGCGCTTCACAATGTGTTTCTCATTCACCATTCACATACACACATACACTAATACACGAATGGTGGCAGAGCTGCTGGATATCGTGATGAGCTTTTTGTTTCAGCTACACTTGCTCTGTGGGTCTGTGGATGTCAGTCAGTCTGTAAGTCGGTCCAGACTGAAACATCTCGAATAACAACTACAGGATCGATTTAACAGACAGTCGTGGTCGTCAAAGAACGAAGCTTCATGATACATTTTTCGCTTATGTTTTGATGCTTCAAACTGTACAATGTGTCACTTTACCCTCCTTCTGTTTATCCTGACTCTGTACCTTTTTTTCCCATCCTGTCCTCCATCAGGTTCGTTACACGCTTCATCGAGCTGGATGGCCTCACCTGCCTCCTCAACTTCCTGCGCAGCATGGACTACGAGACGTCAGAGAGCCGTGTCCACACCTCCGTCATCGGCTGCATCAAGGCCCTGATGAACAACTCGCAGGGCCGCGCACACGTCCTGGCTCACCCACAGAGCATCAACACCATCTCACAGAGCCTGCGGACGGAGAACATCAAAACCAAAGTGGCGGTGCTGGAGATTCTTGGGGCCGTTTGCCTGGTGCCTGACGGACATAAGAAGGTGCTGCAGGCCATGGTGCACTACCAGAAATACGCTGCTGAGAGGACTCGCTTCCAGGTACAGAAAGCCGAGGCGATCTTTGTAAACGTATTAGAGGTTAAAGCAGTTGTCGCATTCCTTGAATTGTGGGTCATGTCTCGTGGTGCATACATATTTAAAGAGCCTTTGCTGGAGACATGGGGCAGACAGAGATTATGGGCTAGGGCAGACAAAATAGTTCAGGGTAATACTCAAATAAATCAAGCTGTGGTCATTTTGATAAGTTGTAGACTTGTGCTGCAGCGCTTCAGACGTTTGGCCTCAGGTTAAGTCAACACGCTGACCGTATTAAAGGCAGGTGAGGACATTGAGAGTTATGGAGGTCACAGTGTGTATAGTGCTTTGTGACTAGCAGGACTGAGTCAACAAGCCACATCTCACACGTCCCCCGGGGTATGTGGTAAATCATGCCACCTCAGGCAAAGCTAACACCACGGGAGCTGAGTGATTCAGAACTTATGAGGCCTTTCAGTGTTGGTTTGAGTTATGATTAAGCTGCTAAAGTATGTCAAGGGTCAGTGTAAGAGGCAACAAAGGGTGTGAGAGCTGAGAACATTGACCCAGGGCTGATATTTCAGCGCTGAAGTGTTTTTTAGATCAAATATACTTACTGACTAACTCTCCCATCTGGTTAAACCATCCAGACGCTGCTGAATGAGCTGGACAGAAGTACGGGACGCTACAGAGATGAGGTCAACTTAAAGACAGCCATCATGTCCTTCATAAACGCTGTGCTCAACGCTGGAGCTGGAGAGGTCTGCATGCATATGCCTTTTTGAACTCACTCTCAAGCATCAACATTAGAACAGCTTCCCACTGTTTGGCAGTAATAGAAATATTTTTTTTCCGATGTTTATAGAGGGGAAATGTGCAATCTTTTTACTGCATGTTTTACCAATTAAGTTTAAGCAAAATACTCCCTTTAAATCTGTTGTTAGACTCCATTTCAAAAGCTTCTGTTACTGTAGCTTGCAGGTGAGAGTTGCTATTTTATTTCCAGGACAACCTTGAGTTCCGCCTCCACCTAAGGTTCGAGTTCTTGATGTTGGGCATCCAGCCGGTCATCGACAAGCTCCGAGAGCATGAAAACGCCACTCTGGATAGGTGAGCAATCAGATCAGTCATTTTAATTACAATGCGTGCAAATGTTCCACAAAAACAGTTCCCACATCACTACTTTGCAGAAGCGCTGCTGCATCCTTTGTTTAGCTCTGCCAAAGACGACTGTGATTAGTTTAAAGAAATAGACTTAAGTCATCACATTTTATCTCCCTCTATAACAGAATAGTAATGAAGTGCAGCCAGACCGTCCCGTAGTGTAGAATGGTCTGGCTATACAAGACTACAAAAGTGCTGAAGCAGTAACTCTTGCCTTTACTCAGACCAGGTTTGTAGGAACAAAGCAAAAATATTGTAACAAGTTTACTGATCTAATATTACATATATGCATTTAAATGCTAAAAAGTCATTCACAAATAGAAAAAACATCCATACAGCACCTTTGTATTGCTTGTGTTTGGATCAGAGTTTAAGCACAGAGAGGTCAAACTCCATGTTCGACAGCTATGGAGTTTTGTTTATACCAATCACAGTTACGGTGCTTAAGGAAAACTTATTGTATTTAAGCATGTTTCACATCCAAATTCTGAAACCACACGCACAAGTGGTGCATCATCAACTTGAAATGAAGCTGCTGATAATTGTTTAATATCAGACTGTTGTTTCTTTGTACCCAGGCATTTGGACTTCTTTGAGATGGTGCGGAATGAGGATGACTCAGAACTGGCCAAAAGATTTGATATGGTGAGTGATCCCGCTGCTACTCAGTGTATTATGTCGTTGCTGCTTTGACTCTGCTCATTTCAAGTTCAAATTCTATATTAACAGCCAGAGTGACTCTCTTTCTTTACCTTAACAGTCCCATGTAGATACAAAGAGTGCTGGTAACATGTTTGAGCTAATCAAGAAGAAACTGAGCCACACGGATTCCTACCCACACCTCCTCTCCATCCTCCAACACTGCCTGCAGATGCCCTGTGAGTAGACGCATTTGCAAGAATCCACATTTTAAAAAAACTCAATAAATCAAGTCTTGTGAGTAATAAAGACAAAACATAGCAATGGTGTTGTAGATATCATTCACTGGGACTAATCTACTGTATGTGCCTGGAACTCCACACCCAGATAAACGTGGTGGTGGCAGCCTGCAGCACTGGCAGCTCTTAGACAGGATTCTCCAGCAGATAGTCCTGCAGGATGACAAGGGAGAAGACCCCGACATCGCCCCTCTGGACAACTTCAGTGTTAAAAACATCATTCGCATGTAAGTAGAATCTCTCTGCTCTCAACCGAAGCAGGAACCACACAAAAGCACACACAGTATGCAGCAGTGGTCAAGCTCTGCAAGTTTCTTATTGCTGTGACAGTTGTCACACAGTTCATTTCCTATTCTGATGCATTCACGAGTGTATCTAAATGGCAGGAATAATGCTTTATCTGAATCATTCTCCATCTTCAGAAGCTACTGTGCTGTAAGTGATAATCCAGGCTGACCATTAGACTTCCAGGCATTACAAGAGAGACTTACTGTAAATGTGCTGTAGTTCCAGTACTTCCCCCATGCCTTTATAAAAGCTTCTGCTTATCCTTCAATGGTATAAACACACTGTAGTTTCTGGGAAAATCTTATGGTTAATGCATCCAATCAGAATCACTTCCAACTAAGATCAAAGCCTGATATCAACATCATGTGCTTTTATGTTACAATGATCGAGACTTTGCTGGAAGGCAAACAAGTACTGAAATATCATGAGTTGTGCATCAGAGCTTTAGTATAGGCAAGCCTATACAGTAAACCTGTGTTCATGGGAATAATAAGACCAGTTTCAATGCTCCGAGCCTGGCTGTTCTTTTTTTTTTATGCTTTTGTACTAGTGTAAAGTGCTGCGGGAAATGTGCTGCACTGGAAGGTAAGGTGATGTGAGGGTGGCAGCAGGGGGTCCAGGGCTGAATCGGAGGAAGATTCGCTCCGAGCGTGAATTGGCATGAAAGCGGAAGCCAGAGATCAAAAGGAAATCGCCCTAATCGCATTAGGAGGGCTGCTCAGCCAAGTCAGCCATGTTTTGGTGCGGCGAAGCAGGAACTTGGCTTCATGGAGGAAACAACAGGGAGAAGAAATCATATTCTCAAAGAAAACCAACCATGACTTGGAAGTCTGCGTTTTGCGTATGTCGTCATGGCCACAGTCTACACTGTCGCTCAGAGCTGTTCTGTCAAATGATTGTGACATTTCCTGGTTTTGGTGGTCTGGGTTTCACTGATTTTTGAAACTAATCTGAACTTATGTTCAGCAGCCAAAGTCTGCGGTATGTGCAGAGTGTAGGTAGTGTTAAAAGATGGCATTCCAGGCTGTGTCCATACAGTACATTTGGTGTTTCACTTTCTGATGTGCTGTCATTCTTCTCTTTCACCATCTTTCTTCTGCTCATTTTTGTTATGTTTAAACCAAGCTTACGATCAGTGATGAATGTGTTTAGTCTCAGTGGTGAAAGCACCATAAAACATGTAGCATGGTAAACCTTGGCCCTGGCTAGCTCCTGCTTTGTTCACTAATTCAGCCACCATTGTTTGTGCAATCAGCACACTTGAGTGAAATTCCTTCCAGTAGCATACAGAAAGTGCATCTGAGCACGGACGTTCATTGCTGTCCATTGCAGATCCATCACAGCGGTCAGACATACCCCTCACTTTACATTTCTGCCAAAGTCTTATGTGTTTCCATAAACTCTCTCAGAGTAAATTGTGCCTGGAAAATGAGTGCATAAACTAAGATTTCCTCATTGCGCTGGCTGCATGCCGGAGGCCCCGAGAGTTAACGGGCCAAACGTATGGCTCGTGCCACGACTGCTCAGAGAGGGAGGGGCACGTTAAAACAACTGTTAAAACAACTGGGAGACAAAGTCATTCATCATCTGCGGTCACCATGACGACGGGCTCTGACGACTCACACATGTGCCTGGCCCAAAATTAACACTCTTGTACAAATCACATTTTTCCACAGCTATGAAGAGGTATTTATTTGACTGGTCAACAAAAAAGTGATTGTGTCTTTTTGTTTTAATGAGTCGGATCAGTGGAACTTTGCTCGAGCTGTAATTAAAGCGTTTCTGGCTTTGTAATCAGGTTCAGACAGTTCTGTTCACAAACATGAGCACTGAAAAGAGTGAAAACTGATTAATGACCCATTTGCTTTTAAATTGCCATGTGGATTTCCTCATTTGATTTGATGATAAGCATTTAAGGGTTAATCATCATCACAATGAAGCTATTTTGCCCTTATTTTCTGTCATACCTCAGCACATTCTTTGTTCACTAGTTCTGTGTCTCAAGCATTTCATGTAGTTTGTTTCGATTGTATGAGTAGTGACACTGAATCATGTCTATTCTTTCAACTCTAGACATGGCCACCACCGATGCTCAAGGTTTCATTTTCCAGTCTTTACCTCATCCAAATTAATTTCTTAAAACATCCCACTGATAATCTTTTCATTTACATTCATGTCTCCTACCTTTGTGTCTTTACTTACACCCATGTACAGTTGATTGTTAATCACAAACGCTCATTTCTCACATTACACACACTTACTTCTGTATCAGAACATCAGTTTAACCCTAAGCCTCAAGCTGAACCAAGAACCAGAATGTATAACTCATAATCTATAACTGATTTCAGCCCAGCATTATTTACTTTAAGCACTAATGTTGTACTATGGAGCTTAAAAGAGCAAACTGCATCAGCCCAGTCAATGCTGTTATTATTCTGGAAATGAAAAAACTAAAAAGAAACTCAAGAATTAGTGTAACTGATCGCTGGGCTTCCAGTCCAGTGAATTGATGTCCTCAGAATGTCCTGGCGTGACTTGGTTGGACTGCAGTTGACCCCTATAAATGCAAGTGTTCTTTGCAAGGCTGTGCTTAGTCTATCTGCTTTAGTATGCTCATTTTTGTGTGTCTGCTTCACAGGTTGGTCAATGAAAACGAGGTGAAACAGTGGCGAGACCAGGCAGAGAAGTTTAGGAAAGGTAAGTCTGTTTGACGCACTGCACTGAAATACATCATCTAGTCCCCATCCCCTTTTAATGTCTCCATGAGTTAGTTTTTAATAGATTTCTGTACAAATCAGTGTCTGTTTCTCTGAGTACACCTTTGCCTGTATGCACTGTAGTATCAGAATCGACACCAAATTAACAATCATGATTTACTGTCAGATCACGGAGAGCTGCTAGCAAAGCTGGAGAGGAAAGAGCGAGAGTGTGATACCAAGACCCAGGAGAAGGAGGACATGATGAAGACTTTGAACAAGATGAAGGACAAGCTACAACGAGAGGGTGTGGAGCTGCGCTCAGCCCGGGAGCAAGTGCTGGACCTGTCGTCACGCATTAATGACGTGATAGCTGTGAGCAGTGCTGCTTTTTATACCGAGCTACTAAGTGACATGCAATATAAGTTAGTAATGTTCTGCATTATCATGTAGACCTTGTTACTGAGTATATATGAGGGTTTTTTGTGCAGTGCAGCTGAAGAACATCAACTCATCCAGAATACACTGATCATACTTGGTTGCTTTCTTACTGAAAACTACAAAATGAACTTGCTGTATTTACTGCAGACATTGGGCAAGATGTGTTAAACTGGCGTAGCATAAACAATAGAGGAAGAAGAAAACATGACCCCTAAAGAGGTGTCATACAGTATTTACTCAGGTTTATGTGTCTACGGCAATAACCAAGACTGTACCGAACATGTAGCACCATGGGTCCAGTTTACATGCTCTTATGTGTTGGAACCAGTCGTCTATCAACAGCTTCTGGACTCTTTAACTGAACGTAGCATCTCAGAAGTCAGGTTGCAGTTTTATGTATTCATGAGTTTTGCCCATGGCTAGTTTTCTAACCAACAAGATGCGACTTGTAACTAAGATTGTCTTGATGATTATAAAAAGACCTGTTTGTCTTCTTTTAATGAAAGCTAGCTGTTCCTCCCTGCTTCCAGCCTAGCATATGCTAAGCTATGCTAGTTATGTTGTCTGGTGTCCAGAGCACAAAGACTAAATCTATATCTGACCTCTCTAACTCCCAGTAAGATGACAAACCAGCGTATTTTCACAAACATCAGAGCGTTTATGGCATTTGTCTTATTTTTTTGCTTAGTTTTATTTTAACCTGCAGTCTCGATGTAGCCCTGCAACACAGTTTCGAGCTTAACTGCAAGTTTAGGTAACATTGGTCGTAAAGTGTCTGACACACAACTGTAATGTGATGTTATCCAAACCATATAATAACGTATTTTTCTATTTGTGCTTCAACAGGGCGGCAGCGTATCTTTCCCGCCTCCCCCTCCTCCTCCTGGTGGCCCCGTGGCTCCTCCTCCACCACCTATGATGGGTGGCTTCCCTCCCCCTCCACCTCCTCTACCGTTCAGCTGCCCGCCTCCTCCACCACCTCCCCCTCCGCCCGGAGCACCGCCTCCTCCGCCCGGAGCTCCTCCCATCTTCGGAATTCCACCTCCTCCTGTCCCCTCATCATTCAACTCAATGGGCACTATGCGCTCCAAGTCCATCCCTCAGCCTTCTCATCCCCTCAAGTCCTTCAACTGGGCTAAACTAGGAGAGGTGAGCTAACACTTGCAAATTTCGCGCTGTTAGTTTTGTTAAAAGTTTATTTAGTTTAACAAGAAAATGTCATTTTGCAATATCAGCCCATTATGGCCCCACAGATCCTATGACTTAGTAGTGTGAGCACAGATAATCTGCAGTGTAAATGAGGAAATCCCTGTTTATGCTCTCTTTTTTTATTTTTATTTTTATTTTTTTGTCATTGCTACACAGGTTTGCGGTATGCGAACACCTGAACGAAAAAAAACAAACAAACATTTATTTCCGTTAGCATGTATTTTTCACAGTTTAATACATCATACAGTTTCCCACCATCAAGGTTCTGATATTGCCATATTTCCAGACAATCTCCAACTTTTTCTTGACATAAGGGCTAGTTTTAGAAATCTGAAACTATTATCATATTTAACGAGAGAAGATCTGGGAAGCCGATACCGTTCAGGAAAAAAAAAAAGATTTAGCATATATGACTGACTCCTATAATGACCATGATAAGTATTAAAATTACCCTCAAAAATAGCCTCATAGGGCTCATATGGTTAAATTCCTGCAGCAACAAGACACGTGCAAGTATTAATAAATCTGCAACCTCATATTTGTACATCACAGCCCTCTCTCCAGTTATAGAAACAGACATTCAGCTTAATTCTTGAATTGCATTTCAGAACAAAAGCTTAAGATATTTAGCCATGTGCAATGTGAAATACTGTAGAATTATTCCCAAAATAGCATTGACTTGATGCCATTATACAAACTTTTTCAACAAGCAATTCTCATTCTTAATTTCATCATCATCATCATTGAACTAAATAACGAGCAGCAGATCTGACTGGCTGTGTTTGTGTTGTGCCACTCTGCACCCTCCACACAGCAAAGTGGAAGAAACCATCCACTCAATCAACTGCTGGGGTGTTGTCATTTTTCGCTGTGATTGACACAGCAGAGCAACAGAAGCCATGACTGGTCAAGGGTGTCCTTATTATTCACCACACCCTTATATCTCTGCATATTTAAGTGTAACTTCAGTCAGCCTTTGCTGCACCTACATGAACCAAAATAGCAAGTGCACTTGGAGACACTCACACAGTTTGTACGTCCAAGACCCACCGCTTTGCACTCCATTGCAATTGTGTGGTTAAAATAGGGCCCGGGGTCTTTTTCTTGATTTTATTGAACTACAGATTCAAAACATCTGTTCATTCCTGATCTGAATGAGTATATGAAAAGAGCACAAAACCTAGAAGTGGTGCCTTCAATATTAATCAGTGGGTAAATGTTAATCCCTTATGTCTCTCTACTCCATTTCAGAATGTAATCAATGGCACCATCTGGAACGACATTGATGACCTGAGAGCTTTCAAGATCCTTGACCTCAAGGACATAGAGAAGATGTTTTCAGCATATCAGAGACAGCAGGTTTGGATTTGTTCGCGAGTGGGTGTTCTGGAATACGGTTGTATGACTTACAACTGAGTGTGTGTGTGTGTGTGTGTAGGCGTGTGTGTGTGTATGTGTTTGGTTTGGCGAGCGTGTAGTAAATGTAACTGTTCGAGCTGAGTTGGAGTACGATTTTGGCCTCGATTCTTTAACCGTGTGTATTAGTGAAAGTGTGTGTGATGGGCTGAGGGGTGGGATGTTTTAAGAGGACTCTCGAGAGTGCCAAGGGTCCAGCTCCAGGCTAACATGAGCAGCTGTTCACTGCTGAATGCCTTATTGTAGAGATGCCACAGAGCTCAAGCTTTGCACTAGTATCTGCAGAGCATTTGTGTGAGAACCGGCAAACTGACTGCGTCTTCACGGGCTCATGAGTCAGGGCGATGCGGAGGAAACAGTCGACACCACTGAAGTCACGAGGAGTCACGATACAGGAAACTTTTTACTGAAGCTAGTGTACTAAAATAAAGAAGCTATTCACAAAATCATGTTGAACCAAGGACTAAGTAATAGGATAATTGCAGTATGTGTGCCTTTGTGGCAATACCACAGAGTACATAGTAATTACTTCCCTCTGGGCTACAAACTAATTGCACACCACTTGTCATGTGATAATATTGGGTACAACTGCATAAACCAATCTATCACATTGCTTTAAATGGCTCGTAACCGAATGTTAATATGCCCTAATTAGTTTCTAGTAATCACAGTTTAAAGCAAAGTCTTTAAGACTCACTGAAAGATCAATACTTAGTCCCCTTTGAGGCATTGCCGTTGTTGAATTTGTTTATAATGTATTTTACAGGCTTGCTTAAAAGCCTTCTGACAGCTAAAAGCACAACGTCTCTTTGCAGGCTTTTATTAAAGAGTAATGGGTCATTTGAGGTTGTTGCTGACAGTGATTTACTGTGGGTATTTATTTATACAGAGCAGGTTTTTATTGGCACAGGCCAATGGTTAAATGCAGATCTCTATGGATATGGCCACATAAAAACCCAAGATCTTCCTGGCTTTGACAACTCACTTCCATTTGGCAAGAGTGAGATTCAATTCAACACAGGGCGATATAGCAATGTTTATCCATGGCATAATTGCTTTTTTTTAAACTTGTCATTGGTCCTTCTTTCAAAATGGGCTTTTGTTTACATTTGCCCTCTGTAGGATTAGGTACCGCAGTCATTTTTCATGCTCTTGTTTTTCCATGTCAAGACAGATGTAGACGCAATCAAAAGAATACATTAGAACAATCATGACCTCTTTAAGATTACAGAAACCAAAATAGAACAGGGTTTAAAAGCTTTTTTTGTTCACCTATGCACCACAGCCTCCGATACAGAAGTCATGAGCCCCTGATGACTTGGACAGTAGATGATTTATGTTTTTCTCACAGAGGGCTTCCCAGCTTCAGCTTGTAGTATGCATACAGTAGTTGTAGTTCTTTGCTCTAGCCATCACCTTTTTTTCTGCTTGAAATGCTAATCTTTGCATGTGTTTTCAATTTTTTTGTGTCTCTCTACACTCCGACTGCCTGGGCAGGACCTGCTAACTAACCAATCCTTCAAACAGGTGAGTTGAAGATCTTCCAGCTTTTAGAAGACGTAGTTACCTACTTTCATTGCTCTGTCACATTCTCCTCTGCAGTGCATCAGCTAGTCAGCTACTTGTACAATGAATGGGTTACTGTCTCTAAAGCTGGTGTTTTTCTCGGAAGTCTTCAAATATGTGAATCTGGCATACCTTAGTGTTGAAATCCAGATTTTTGTATTACCAGTACAGCAGATGTTACCAGTTCCCTGATGCAGATTTGCAGCATCTTTCAGCTCATTGTTTTGATTTTACGACTCACAATTTGACTGTTTCGGTTTAGTCTCACTGCCTTCATTAGCATCTTTTCCAACTGAAGCAGGCAGCTTTTAACTGCAAAATAGTTCAGATGAACCCAGTGTTTACAACCAGCCCAAAGCCAAATACCAGGCAGAAAGTTAGCACTTAGCTGGTGAGCACATTTGAGCATTTAACTGTTTCCTCCACTAAAACTCAGCTACAAGTGGAGGTATTCTGCACCTACATTCATCACATGGTCAGAAATTTAACATAAAACATTTAAAGCATTGAACGATATTTGTTTTAAGTCAAAACATTATTTTTGCCACTGTATGAAATAAACAGGAAGATGCAAATGCATAAACGTGCATAGCTGGGTAGCTGTAGACATCTTCTGTTTTAGTGGAGATTTTGAAAGCTCGTCACATTAATCTTCATCACCACTACCTTATTTTTCAATATCATCCCCGTTTTCATCTCAGTTATTGTGCTAATTACTATAATTCCCATCATCATCTTTAATTTCTTAAATTGTCATAATTCATCACAGTGACCAAAGCAAGAATACCCTGAATGTACGTGCAGCCACTTACAACAGTTCAAACACCTGACCACATTTCGATCAGCATCACTTAATAAATGTTAGAAAAGATGAGGGGGCTAGTTTCCAGTTACATTGGGTGTAGCGCACATGCTGTGCAAGCTGGCAAAGTTGCCTTTGGCAGTTTTCAGTGAATGGGAGTTGTCCCCCTAACCCGGTGCCAACCTCAGTTTGCTGCCAGCCAGTACGGGTCAGCACGGGCATGGAAAAACGACACTTTCTTTACAAGCCGCATCTGTTTTACATATGTCATACCCAGCAACCTCAGAGAGAAAGTTTTCTGGCAAGCAGGAAACCAGCTCGGACCATAAATAGAATGTGTCTAACATGCAGCTCCAACCAGTTTTCTCAGACATGTATTCTTTCCCCTTGTGGATTTTAATACTACATTTGTGTGAAGCTTACAAAAATATCGGACTGGCTTGAATCAAGTTTTCAGTTGCGTTTCCTGTTCCTCTGAGAGGTTTATAGGTCTGCCTGCGTTGTGTTAGCTGTGGTGACTCACCAAAAAAGCTCCTCCCAAGACCTGCTTCAGATTGTTTGACATTTCTCTTTTTTTTTTTTCCACAGTTTTTTTTGTTATATGTTTTTGTGCACCTTCTCAAACTGAGTCAAGGGTTGCTAATGTTAAACGAGATGTGCATTATGGTCTATATCAGTTGATGCATGGCAAGTGGCATTCACAGCCACTACCTGCAAAAACAGGCCAGGGTACTTGATCGAATGTCAGCTAAAGTGTTTGGCTGGAGTGCAGCCTTTTAGTCTGTGCTTAATAGTGGCAGTAATTAGACAACTGCAACAGCTGGCTTTGGTTCTTGAGGGGTTTTTTATCTGCTCTAAATTAACACATTGTTAAATGCGCAGAAGGGGTTGTCTTTCAGTGAGACAAAGATGGTAGACAGATGTGAGGAAGAGACATTTTATTCTGCACGATGTGCATTTTCTGAGAGCACAATGTTGCAAACTTAATCGGTTTCTCTGTCTTATCTATTTACAGAAAGAGACGGGCTCTATGGATGACATATACGTCAGCACACGGAAGGTCAAAGAGCTGTCAGTCATTGATGGCAGACGTGCACAGAACTGTGTCATCCTGCTCTCAAAGTAAGAAGTCACAACCAGAATGATTACTTACTGCATCATACCATCAGTAAACAGCTGGTTATTATCTGGTAATTAGTTTATAATACTAAAGAGATATCCTGTGATTTCTGATGACTGTGACATAAGTGACACTGCAGTCTTCAGTTCAGAGGTCAGAGCTGTAACTCAGTGTGGAGCTGTTGAAGACGAGTGTTTCTTACATCTGGTACCAGAACTCTGCTTTTAATGAACACACAAGGACATCTGTCAGTGTAATTAACCTCAGATCCAGTTTGTTTTTTGTTTTTTTTGAAGAGCAAACTGATTCATATTACAGACAGAAAGCATTGTCCAGATGAGGATGCGTCTCAGGAAGTAAAGTTCAAATTTCAGCAGGAAATTTTGTCTATTATTACGCATTCAAGCACCATCAGTCTCCACATTAAGTCACATGATTAAATTGGGACATATGTAATTGATCCCTCTCCTGAGAACCTGCAAGTCCCACTGCATTTGACCTAGAATCAATTTTTAACAAGCAATGATCCAAAGCCTTTTAGATAATTACAATCCTAACCAATCCCCTCTACAGATCAATAAATGGGCTTCCTGAACCTTTGTGTGTCTGACCAAACAGCAGCATGGTCCCTGCACTCACGATTGTGTCAATAGCGAATGACCCTGGGCCACAAACTAGACCCAAATGGGGTCAGGGTTTGGTCAGTAAGGCTCTGATGCACAGACTAAATATGCTGTTATTGATCACAACCCAACACACATAACACTGATCAGATGTACTGCAAACAGCTGGCAGTGTCCCCGGGAGGGCTTCACTGCTCCAAAATGGGTATTGGTGGCAGTCCACTTGTAGTTTTGTTTTTATTCTGAGTTTGTTATGAATGTAGTTACAATAAACATCTTCTTCCTTTTAAGGTTAAAAATGAGCAATGAAGAAATCAAGAGGGCGATCCTAGAGATGGATGAGAGAGAAGAGCTAGCCAAAGATATGTTGGAGCAGGTATGGTTCAGTGCTTGATGAATGACCTTGTACACGTGTGAGAAAGCAGAGTAGCAGAGCGTACACATCTGTTGTGATTGTTTGGGTCATAACAATGTTTATGGATTTACTTGACAGAAAGAGAAAAAATGATGTATTGTTCAAAAACAGGCCTCAGAAGGGTCTGATGTTCAGAATATCACAGAAGTGACTACACCTGTGTGCCATATCACTTAAATGTTAGATTATTCCAAATTGTATCACCTTACAGTAACTGCATGATTTCAAAGTTTACCGGTAGGGTATTTGCAAGGCCCCTTCAGTGCAACAAGAGTCACTTCATCACTGGTATTCAAATCTGAAAGTGTTTATATGTTCAACTTTATTTTTTGATGACAGACTAAATCCTGCTCAGCATGGACTTTAGCAAAATTCTGAAGAGATAGATTTTTTGTTGTTGTTGTTGTTGTTGGTTGTGTCGGCCCTGCCTTTTTCTATGAAATGCCTCAAAGGTTTTCTAATCGATTCAAGTCAGGTGACACACTTGACAAGGTCATAGCTTCACTATTTTCTTGTTTAGAAACCTTTTGCTCTCATGCAGCCCTATATCATGATACTTCACCCTCTGTGCTTCACTGTGAGGACTATGCATTCACTGTGGTAGTCCCACAAAACATGCTGGACCCCTGAACAAACTGAATTTGGTCCCATCTGACCAAAGAATGTGCTCCTATTAATCATTAGGCATGATGCAGAAAGGTTTCAGTCATTGAGCAGAATGCCAGCGATGAAACTTTCAGAGGCCTGGATCTTTTCAGGTTATTCTGCAGTGTAATATTACATTCATAAAGTTTTTGGTAGATCAACAAACATTACAGGTAAAACAATATAGTAGAAAGCTAAGTAATACCAGAATTTTTTTGTAATTTGTTGCAATACATGTTTGTTTGCTCCACAGAGTACTGCATTAACATTTGGACTAACATTGTATTTGCAGCTACTGAAGTTTGTCCCAGAGAAAAGTGACATTGACCTGCTGGAGGAGCACAAACATGAGCTGGAGAGGATGGCCCGGGCTGACCGCTTCCTCTTTGAAATGAGCAGGTACCCAAGAGTACATCATTATATAACTCTCTGCTTCAAGTAACAGCACTGGTGTTGGGTATCTGATTCTCTTGTTGACGACATGTTTCAGTGCAGTCAGGGCTGGTTAATGTTTAACAGGTTCAACTTGTAAGAAAGCAAAACACAACACTGTGTCCGCGTGTTGAAACGGATTTGATAGTCTATCGCGTGTAATCAGAATGGAAGTATTCCAAGAATATGCAGATTTTGTGCAGGATCAAGGCATGTCTTTTCAGAAAGAGAAGCTTTTGAAGCATCAACGGGAGGGTGTTATCAAGAACAGGCCCCAAACTCCAGAGTGATTCATCATTTCGCTGAGCTAAGAAGTTATGGCTGTCCTTTGAGGCCCGCAATCATATCAAACAGTGGAGACATTTTAAATCAGTGCCTTTTTTCTGCACTCCATCCTTCCTCAGAATCTACACTGTTTGTACAAGATAATTAAGCCTTTTCATTTCCTTTAGTGAAATATTACTCTGTCCACTTTCTTTCCTTTTGACCGCATCTCCTTTGGTCTGAGTAATACATTTGGGAATTCGTTGTTTCCTTTTTTTTGCCATTTAATATCCCCTGTCCCTCTTTGAAATTTCCACTCCCTCCTTTCGAGCAAGTTTAACATGCCCATTTGTCAACTTTCCAGCTTGATGGGAGTCTATTGGATGATAAAAGCAGTGAAAACTGAGAAAGGGAGTTTTGCACAATTGGGTGACTTCTAACTTTTAATTTACACTCCCCTGGAGACAAGTCCAACTTACCTCCCTCTCTGTTTTTTCCCCTTTTCTCTTCCTTTTACCTCTCCCCTTTCTTCATCAGAATTGACCACTACCAGCAGAGACTGCAGGCTCTGTTCTTTAAGAAGAAGTTTGCAGAGCGTCTAGCTGAAACCAAGCCTAAGGTTGAAGGTAAGGACACACACCTCGGAGGCCACTAAAAGTAACAGGAGTCAGAAGTGAACTTTGTGATACAGAAAGGAAAATATTAAGCTTTTCTTCTTCAATACTGACATTGAAAGGATTATAATTAGAAGTATTATGTGCATGAGCCCAATTTACTCCTTTGTGCCTTGGAGTTCCATTGTTGTCCAAGAACTATTAGAAATACATCAGTGAGTCGCAGTGTGTGACATGTTCGGTCATTACCATGAACACAAACACTACTTTATTTGGACTCTACATATAATGTCCTGCTGCTGTAGTGCTGTTTGTTGAAAGTGGCCAGCTATTTAAGGAAATACTCTTCATAAAATCATATTTGTGACCTATTTTGAAAGACTTCATCAGAGAGGACTGGGCTCAGGGTTTAGTGCTCCAGACAGGGTGGAGAAGTCAGAAAGGACTAAAAGACAATAATAAAGTGTTGTATAATCGCAGATTTTCATTTGAAAGACACAGATATTAGTTGGCATTAGCTTAGATTCTCTGATCTAGCGGCACTCTTTCAACATGGTTTAAGTTTTACCTGAAAATGGAGCAGGAGATTACATTTTGGATAACATGTTCCAGGGCATACCACATTCACATTGTACACAGATACACACCCAAAAGCCAAAACAAAAATGTCATCAGCTTTGTGCACTGTGACCAGTGCTGTTCACAGTCTCATCTTTGTCTTGAGTGTACACGTGTGTCTGCAAGGTGAGAGAGGGTGGTCAGCTGTATATGGGCCCTGTGTAGTTTTTCCTTTCAAGCCAGCTTCCAGGTTACCAAGGAGGCTGTTTTGGAAAGCTGGCCCATGTTGAGAGGGGAGAGCGCCTCTCATAAACACTGCAGCTTACTTCAAAGACGGAGGAAAAAGGCTGCTATGAGACATGTGTGCATGCATGTGCGTGCACAGGGTGTGTCGTGACCTAGCTGTCACAGCGTCTGTTTGAGCCAGAGCTACTTGACAGAAACTTCTCTGCTGGCCTCAAAGCTTGTCTGGGCTTTGATGAGCACATCACATCATTTTTGCCAGCAGTGTTTTATTTGCAGTGAGTGCTAACTGACACTTTAGTCCCGGTAATCTGCAGAAATGTTGTCAGATAGTCAATTCATTCTAGTTTCAGATCAAAGAACTTTTTTTTTTTTCTGAAATACATTATTCAATGCCACGAATGGAAAGAAAATATGAGCAGAGGCATAATCCTGTGAGTTGAGTTTTGGTTCAAACCTCCAGAATCTCAGTTGTTGCATCCAAATATTTCCAGACCACACTGTTCATCGATGCCCGTTATAAAGTTCTCATCTCATTTTATTATTCATGTTACTTCGTCATATATTCTAGAAGAGACTGTGTTTCTCTGGACCACCCAGCGTGTTCAATAGAAGCATTTCACATGACAGTGCAGTGTGCAGCCAGGTCTTTCTGCCTCCAGCAGCACACTGTCAGCAAAGCCAGAAGAATAGTTCCCATGCTGTATCACAGCAGAAAGAACTGTAACAATAACAATAAAGATTTTGTTAATGATTTTCACATTCACACTGAGGTTTCCTCTGTGGAGAGGGGGAACCACCTGCACTTTGCCAGACATGTCTATTCTCAGAGGGAACGAAGCGGACAGTATGGGGATGTGTTTGGAATATTCCCTTCCCCCTGCTGTTTTATGGAAGGACTTGATGGGTTTCCCCACCAAGCTGCCCAGTTGTTGTGGGGAATATTGATCACTCATCATGAAGGATGTGAAAAATGAAGGAAAAGATGAGAGCTTTTGGGCCACACTCAGCTGAGGCTTGAGTTTCTCTGTGTCTGTGGAGGTTGAGTAAAGAAACAGAATGGAAGGGAACGGTTTTAAAGCCAGTTTGTTATGCAACATAAAAGGTTGAAAGTGCAAACATGTCAGTCACCAACTATATGATCTCTCCAGCTGCTTCTCTCGCTCTCTCGCTCTCTCCGTTTCTCTCCAGCTATCCTGAATGCATCCAAGGAGGTGGTGCGGAGCAAGCGTCTGACTCAGGTCCTGGAGGTAGTTCTGGCCTTCGGCAACTTCATGAACAAAGGCCAGAGGGGGAACGCCTATGGATTCAAGGTGTCCAGCCTCAACAAGATCGCCGACACCAAGTCCAGCATAGACAGGTGGGCCAGGGGGGACTGTGGACATCCAGTTAACCCTCAGCTTCTTAGACTGATGCACTGAAAATCATGCTGCCTGCAGTGACAAAACTCACTGTAACATAGAGACACACATGTCAAGCACACATTGCAGGAATCAGTGTGTCTACTGCAAATTACTATCTGTGCTGATCTTTCCCCACAAAAAAAAAAACAGTTTTTTAGTATGAAAAGTAATAAAACGCACTCTGTACATTCATTGTTACCTTGGTAACAGGAACTGCTGGCAGCTACTGCAGCATAATTTCCCATGGCTCAAACTTGTCAAAGCGTAAACAATAAAATGGGCTTAGCATAGCACACTCACTCCATTGCCATGACCTAATTCCACACTACATACCGCATCTAAGCAGGTGTTGAGTTTGTAGTGTTTTCACACTAAAGAAGTGACAAAGTAGTGTATGCGCAGGCAGCGTGCAGAGTGAATACAGTAGATTTCATAGTGTAATTGATGCACGATATTTTCCCACAATGCAAAGCAAAAAGCCTACGTTGCAAAACAAACTATCTTTTCTTTAAAAAATTAAACGTATGTTGATATTTTTGTTTTAATTGATAAAACAGTTCATATGCTGATTAGACTGCCTCACACAGTGTACAGAATTAATATGCAGTGAAAATTTGAGACACAGCAATTGACAATGTAATACTTGTCACTTCCTATTTAGTTCCAGTACTCATATATCTACGTGGAATGTATAATTAACATCATTTTCTATGTACTTGGAACACTTTTTTTTTTCTTTTTTTTTTTTTTTTTAATAAATTCTTGTACAAAAGTTTGCTTTAAAAAATGTGTCCAAACTATGAAAGCAGAGTTGTAGGTGAACTGGTACACTGGGGAGGGAAGAGCGCAGGACTTCATAGATCTGCAATACTGTAAAGCCATTTTAAGACAGGAAGGGATTGTTGTCGTGGAAACAGCTTCTAAATATCTAACATTGATACACAGAAATTAATTTTTAGGGGATCAAATAAATGATTGGATAGGGACTTATCCCAATTCTGAGCAAAGCAGTGTTACCAAGGTTACTTTAGTTAAAGGTCGCTTGACTGTGTTTGTTTGTCTTCACTTGTGATTCACAGAAACATCACCATGTTGCACTACTTGATCATGATCTTTGAGAAGAACTACCCAGACACGCTGCACATCCAGGAGGACCTCAACAGTGTACCAGAGGCTGCCAAAGTCAAGTGAGTGTGGCTCATTTCACTGTGCAGATGTTTGGAGGGAAAAGACTGCAAGTGGTTAAAAGCACTGCAGCTCTTACTTTTTGTAAGAATGCTCTGTATGATATGTGGTTCGTTTAATAGTTAAAAAGTCATTTAAAATGTAACATATGACACACATTCAATCTGAGAACTTGTAGCGACGTGCAGTACAAGAAAACAGCTGACAAGGATTATCTCCATTTCTCTCTCTTTAGTTTGTCAGAGTTGGAAAAAGAAGTGCACAATATCAAAAGTGGACTGAAGGCTCTAGAGGCGGTGAGTTGTTATGCGCTCCCTCCCACTGGTTCTTCTCCTGTCTGTAATTATGTTTTCAAGCGGTGCATAGATGGACAGCAGAGTGAGGTGTTTAAACACTGGTAATGTTCCACGCACTGTTACATGGATCACATTTGCTGCCACACACAGAAACAAGGACTTCGGTGCAAATACACACCTTGCAGTTCACAGAGAGCTGAAGCAAATATAAAGAATGAGAAGCATGCTTCAGCCTCTTCAGCTGGACAGTTTTTAGTTCGAAAATCACGTGTCTGGTCTGTTACCCCCTCCAGGAGCTGCACCACCAGCAGAGCAGGACGAGGGAGCGCGGGGATAAGTTTGTGGCCGTGATCGGGGACTTCATCACTGTGGCTGGCTTCAGCTTCTCTGAACTGGAGGACCAGCTGAGTGAAGCCAAGGACAAGGTAACTTAACTGGTTAACCATTCATTTCTACAGTGAATAATGTATGCAGACGTCAGAGAGGATCAAGTGTAAGTTCATATGTCCATGTGGGTGGCTTTAATGGATTCTTGGCAATTTGTTCCAAGCCTGCATGTCGGACAGACTGAAGAGAAGGAAGGAAGAGTATTACAGAGCACTGATGGGAGAAACTGTGAAGCCTCTGTGCATTCATTTGGATAACTTCTGCAGAGTTTAGGAAACCCAGCATTGAAAGATTACCCTGGATTTCCCCTGGCTCCTCTCTTTGTTTGTCTCTACATCCACTCTCCTCCTTTTTACAACTGCGATAAATGGCCTTTTGTACCCTACTGGCTCAGGTATTGATGTATGGTAGGAAGTATGTAAGCTGAAGATATCAGCGGGACTGTGGAAATCCCAAAGTAAGTCAGTGTTGAAAAGATTTATGTGAACATGTTATTTAATTTGCAGGCCTTCAGTGCTCACGTTACATGCAATGTAAGCATAGTACACTACACTTTATGATGAGGATCTTCCAAAATAACCGACATAGTGATGCTAAAGAGTGCAATTGCTTAAACTCTCTAAAGGATCAACAGATTGTAAGAGAGATGGCACAAAAGAGAAGAGGAAAGACCCTTGGGTCTTAGATGGAGCCTCCCGTTTGCTTAATTGTTTGTTAAAGGAGGAGGTCTGTTAAAAATTGGAGGAAAAATGCACCAGTTGGGACGTCACTGGAAGAGAGCGGGAGGAACAGGGCACCAGTTACAGCTGTAAAACAAAAGAACCTGTGTTCACTGGCCCAGACTCTAAACTGTGTCTATGAGTGTGTGTCTGTGTGCTCGGTAAGTGGGGAGTGTGACACATTGACTTAGTGCTTGTCAAGGCCCTCTGACGCTCTGTTAGGTTTCCAGTGAAATACAAATATGGAAGTGTGGGTGTGTGCTTCGTGTTTAAGAGTGAAGAGGATGAGTAAACAGAGTAGACAGCCCGCCGAGGCTGATGAAGCTCTATGGCAACAAATACTGTATACGTGTGTGTCTATGAGAGACACACACGTGCTCACTAGACACTACTACATACATTACAAAGGATTACAGTTACGAAAGGTCATGTGGGTTATTGGGACAGAGGTTTCCAGAGGAGGGAAGGGATTTTTGTGTCATACAGAGGGATTGGTCGGGTTTATACTTAACAACACACCCACACATCAACGTGTCCAGAGAATACTCTTTGTAGCCAAGGGCAAAGCAGAATAAAAAGCCGAACAGGGAGTGCTTCACGATACACGTATACCACGTGTGACTTTGTATGGGAAACATTATGATCTGTAGTGGGAAATGTGGCCTGAAAAACCCAGGTTACGACACAAATGTGAATTTGGCTTCACAGCAGATGGGTTGGAACGTTAAATACGGCACCTATGAGTGTCATTAATCTGCCTTCATCAGAAAGCCGTTCAGGTCTCACACCGATGTCTTTGCACGTTATAGCCCATTTGTTTCAAATCATGTATGTTCACATTGCTGCCCACAATTTTCCAAAGCTCACTAGTGTAAATGATTTCTGAATCGTGTTTTACTGCCTTAAGAACAGCCGTTATAGCTGGTTATGAGTTCCTATAACAACAGTACGTGAACTGACCTGCAGAGACTTACTTGATTTAACTAATCTGCCACCGCATGTGTAATGTCTGCTTATTATTATTAGTAGTAGTAGTAGTAGTAGTAGTATTATTATTATTATTATTGCTATCATTGAAGTCATGTAATTTTTGTTGATTTGATGACAACAACATAATATGCTTTTTAACATAAAGTCATTTCCTATATTGCTCCTAATGTTTACACACTCACAAACCTTTATCAGGATAACGATTTAATGTGTGACATTTGGTACCGTTAAAGTCCCTCTCTGGTCATTTATTAAACCTATAAAGACACATATCTATGTATTGAAGTTACATGTTTTTGCCTAAATAAATAATAAAATAATCTCTTCCTTCCTTAAAATGGCTTAGCTGTAACTCTACACTGATGCTTCCTCGAGAATATGCAGGTCTATGAAGTCCTGCCTCTTTTTCATCCGCCCCTTTCCCAACTCGAGCACACCAGCTCACTTTTGACTCTGCTTAAACACTGTAAATCTTCTCTATGCCATACAATGACAGGTTGTAATATCTGAAGAAGTATCAATACACTGTAGTTTTAAGGTACAAATGCTCCACCGTGGCATTGATTGCTTTCTTTGATCATTATGTGTCTTCCAGCGTCTAAAAAGCACCATATGGACGTGTTAACATTGTAAAAAATTTGACTTATAAATATAAGTATTCGCGAGTTATAGTTTTTTTGTCAAATAAACAACTGAGCATTGTAAAAGCACATAAATAGTAAATAGTGTATGTAGCAGGCGTATCGATATATATGTTAGCATATAACGTATCTTGTGTGCAATGAAAGAATGAAAGGTCTGTGACTTACCTGAAAATTAAATATATTTTCAGGCGTTATTAGAAGAGCATCTAACCAACCTGACTTCACTGCAGTCTCCCTGCACATTTGGAGTATTTTGGTCATGCTTTCATTCTGACTAACCACTAATTTCCAGCACTTATTTCCCAGTTGCCTACTTCCATTGAACCACCTCACAGCTGGTAATCGTCAGTACCAATATAAACTATGACACCATCTCTCAGTTTTGTTTTTTCTTCCTGCACTTCAATATGGAGTCCAAAGGGTGACCTGGGTTGGACTGAAGTCTGGCCACCCCACACAAACCAATAGTAAAGCCTGTTAGAGGGCTACACACTTACTCATAGGACTGGAACTACAGCCAAACCCTAATATCGTTTAAATTATAATCAGAAACAATTAAGAAACCACACCTTGGAAAAACCTTACCATTTTTTTTTTTTCATCAATTAAGGGTTACATTAAAAACATATTATAAATGAGTTGTTATGATATACATCTACATTGCAGTCATGCCTGCTGCATAAGCAAATGACAAAAGTAAGTGATCAATGCAACAATGTGACCCACATCAATTTGTCACATAGGAAAAAAAAAAAAGCATCGTTACTTGGTGTGCCACCCCAGTCTAAGTAATGATCTCTGAACCCCCAATATAAAAACTGTCTGGCTGCAGCACTATTCATACATTGACAGAGATAGACTGGTATGGTGTGTGAGTGTGTGTCTGTGTGTAGAGACATTCCAGGGAGCTCTCCGCTAACTGAGGGACTACTGTAAAACAAACTTAGCTCATTTCCTCAGATCTTTACTGTATTACTGTCTGTAAAGGGTGGAAGATCAGCTAAAAAAATTATCTGATTTAAACTGATGACATCGCTATATTCCTGTACACGCTTGCGTTGGATAAAAGAGGAGGTGGTTTGTGTTGTTTGTAAATACCAGTGATTTATTCAGTTAGCTTTCACTGCATTTGCGTAGCACATTTGCAGAGCAAGCACAAATGGCAGGATGTTTGTGGTGTTTTTAAAAGAAAATTACATCTAAGAAGGAGAAAAGTCATAACTCAACATCCATGATAAAAAAACAATCCAATATAATTTGAAGTCAAACAGTAGGAGTAACGTTGATTCTCCATCAAGTACACAACGAGATAATTAGCCTCTCACAGAGCGCGGCTGTGTTTGTGTCTGTGTGAGATGAGCTAAATCTGTGTGACTTCACATTCTCCACTTCATTGTGTGTGTGTGTGTGTGCTCGCGTGTGTGTGTTTACTCATTCAGCACAGACCCGAGGGGACGAGAGGAAACAGATTTGACCAGACACATAATTACTAGGAGAGAGAGGGATGATGGTGGGGTTGCCATGGTGACCGTTCCCATAATGACAGGATGGTTTTGCATCCTCAGAAAATAGCGATCCCCAACTCTGTTTTATCACAACACGAGGACCACATGCTGTACAGTTTACGAGCCTCATATCGGCTAGAGTGATATGATGTTTTCTGTCACCCCTCTCCCACTCAAGACAGAGCAGAGTCGTACAGTACAGTTAAGGCCCTGCTTTCAACTGATTTATTTTGACATTGACAGTGATTTTTGTCTGCAGCATAACAAAGTGATATGTTAGCGCAGTTATTTGCTCATGAATGTCCACCACACAGACAAGTTCTGAGTTAGAAATAGCACCTCTTCAAACCAGATACAGTACATCTTACACATTAGTAATAATGATTAAAATGCTCTCAAAAGGCCATTCTTCATAATAACTTTTGATAGTACATAAGTGTTACCAGGAAAATGCCCCTGAGTAAGTTTATATACGTCAAAGTTGTTGCTCATGTTGGTGAGTCTGCAGAGCATTTTCATGTTCTACCCTCAGCTCCACAGAGCTTATTCACCAGCTTTAATCAAATTCGTCGTTTTGGTTCTGCGACTCATCATCAGCATCCTTTCCAGTCGAAGCAGACATCTGTTTTCAGTAACAGAGCTGTGGTAAATCCACTGTCACATTCCCTGCACAGCCCCAAAACAGAAAAGTGACAGTTAGTGACCTGTTGGTGAATACAAATGAGCCTTCAAAACAGAACTGAAAGGCCAATGTTTGACTTACGTCCATCACATGGAAGTGACTAATGTTGCTTATGGTCTGCTGCATCTATAATCTAGCAAATGTTAGCAAACATGTTCACAACTTTATTAGGTATTACTATGACATTATTGTGTTTTTTAAGTTTGCTCTGTTTCACCAAAGTGACTACAAAATGCAACCTTGCTGGTAGGACTGTAATACTTCAACTGCACATTCACTCATAATATGTTGGAAACAGTTTCTGATGTCAGTTTAAACAGAAAGAGAGCATGTCATGTATTTATTTCCTAAAACTATATAATCAGGATTAATAATTTTGCCCTTTAAAAATGAATTGTATTTCCACACCATGTAATCAATTACAAACCTGCCCTGATGTCCTTCTGATAGCTCTTAGAAAGAGTCAGTGTGCTTTTTAAGTAGAACTAAGTCAGACGTTTATGTGGCATATGTTGTATCATGTTATGTTTAATATTACTGGCTGGGCCAATAGTGGTGTATTCTGCTGTATACTGCAGTACAGAGCTCAGTGCGTAGGAATGTAGAGAAGGTTTGGCTGCAGGCATCGTCCTGGCACAGAGCACTGAACAGCTTGAACAGAACAGGGTGGACATACGGTGGTCAATTCATGCAGTCATTCTCTTCCCCTGCGTGTGTGTGTGTGTGTGTTCCTGCAGTTCTTGTTAACATAAAGCATTCATGCCAGTAGGTGAAGTTGAAGCACATGCAGATGTAAGCTCATGTGTTCCTTTCACTGAGAGGATTCAGGAGCAAAGTAGAGAATTCAGTCCGTACATTTTAGAATCAGCTCGCTCTGTCAGTATATCCATATTTAAATGTTAGATTTGATAACTATGTGCAGGCCTGCTTTCTGGTCGACTTAGATCAAAATTAAAAATGACATGTTCTTTTCAGTTTGCCAAATCTCTGAAGCACTTTGGGGAAGAAGAAGGAAGGATGCAGCCTGACGAGTTCTTCGGGATCTTCGACACGTTTTTACAGTCGTTCAGCGAAGCACGGCAAGACCTGGAGAACATGCAGCGACGTAAGGACGAGGAGGAGAGGAGGGCACGGATGGAGGCCATGGTGAGAGAATAAACCTGAGTCAGCCATGACAGATTATACTAAAAGGACATGCTCGTTTTTTTCTTAATGATAACCCCGTCTTCTCTCTCTCTCTATCTCCAGCTCAAGGAGCAGAGGGAGCGGGAACGGCGGGCCAAGAAGGGCGGAGCCTCGGACGAGGTCGGCGGGGAGTTCGACGACCTGGTTTCGGCGCTGCGCTCCGGCGAGGTCTTTGATAAGGACCTGAACAAGTTCAAACGCAACCGCAAGCGTTCCGTTAACCAGCTGGTGGAAGGTGGTGGTCGTGAACGAGCCGTCACCAAGGTCAACTACTAGGTTGGATAAAGGACGGACAAAAAAAAAACAAAAAACACACTAGACACCTGAATTCTGCCATGGCGTAGATCTCTTAACACCTTTAGTCCAGGTCCTGGAACATGACCGCTCACATTGGAGAGGATGTAAATAACGGCTGGACTGGACATGTAGCGACAGGTATGGACAGGTATGCCGTCTTGAAGGATGCAACACTCTCCTCTGATTGGTCATGTAAAGCTATTTCCAACCTGTTTGTCCTGGATGAAGGACAGTTGGGATGGATAGATGGACGGACACACCACTGTGACACGTTATCCCATGTCCTTTGACCATATCCTTTAACACTGTGCTCAAGGTTCTCACTGTCTATCACCTTACTGTCTTTCACTTTCTATCTCTTTTTTTCTCTCACAAACCCCTCTCTGTTCCTCTGTAAACTCCTTGGTGCTGGAGAGGAATCATTTTTACTCTATGGCTCTAAAACACATGGACATTGGGATCAGCCAGTCACTCTGTACATAGACGCGAGACCAAGAGAAAGGATTGGAAACAGGACTATGAAGGATCTCCAGGCAGATTTTTTTTTTTAAAAAAACAACTGAAAAAGAAGTTGGGGGGGAGCTAAGCCATAACCTCCACAGTCATGGTTGCTTCAGGTATTCCCCAGAAAATTAAAAGACTTCTCAGAATGGATGGATGTTCATGAGCTCTCTTTATTGCAAAGAAGGACATGGAGGCCGAGAATGCCGAGGAGTGATACACGACGGTGGGTGATCCCAGTGGTCTCATACACGGCACACAGCATTCCCAGGGAGGACATACGTACATCCCGATCTGCAGTTTTGCAGGAAACAAACAGCTCTTCTCAAGGAAACTTCTCAACTTGATCCATCAACAAAGTGACTGTGCCACATGGGTCAAGCCTCACCTACACTCTAAAATGGTCTCAACATCGTTCTGGCATTAACCCGTGCCAAAGCAAAGAGAAAGCAAATGTAAATGTATTAATACAAAACATACTGCAATTAGACGTTGATATATATATTTATATTTAGATGCAGACAAGCTAATTGCAAAGATGTAGAGGTTTTTTATGTTTTGGGATTTTGTACACGCAATGCATTATTTGTTGGTGTTGCAAGTTCACATTGCTCTTGAAGTGAATTTCTATACATTTTGCGCTTTATGTAAAAGAGATAACTGCTTGTCCTTTTCACACCTGTATGTCTTGTTTGCACTGTAGCTTTTCTGACAAACTTTACACTCAAATGACCACAAGCCAGCTAGAGCATTCTCTCTGTTCTCAGATTAAGATAATGAAGAAATGCCATAAATGACTTTAAAGGCGTAATCTGGAGTTAGTTTACAGTGCTTTTCCCTGCTCTGCTGTCAGTCTATAAGGTTCATATCTGACTTTATTCCTCTCCATCACCTACAAACTAGTGAGTACTATCCATAGTATCGGTGAGATCTGTTCCACTGGTACTAAAACATTTGATCTGTGGACAGCCATCAGCCCAGCTCAGGATGTATCAATCTCACTCAATGAAACTATTGCTGAATTGCACCGGTACCAGGATTCAGCCTCATCATGCAGCGTTTCTGTGTGTTTTTATCTTCAGTTGTGATGTCAGACCTTATTGTATTGTCAGGGCACAATGAAGCACTTACAGGGCGTAGAAAATTTCCTCTTGATGAAAAGTTTAGGTTTTCTTTATTGACAGGACACGAACAGAGAGGATCATTGAAAAGAATCTGTGCTTTCATCTTTTCATGCAGCTTCTCACAAATGTTTACATCATGATGGGCAACCTGCTGCCAAACCAGAGTCAGACCCATGAACTCAAGGCCAACATCATTTTTCCTAAGGTTTTTTTAAATTATTTTTAGCACTCAGTGTATTTTTTTAATGTATATCTGCATTTCCAAAACCTAAGCAGTACTCTTGACAGAGGCTGTGATATGATGTGTAAGGTCACCTCAGCACACCATTGACATCCAGTTCTTAAAGATACAGTAGTGGGTGAAAAGAAATACATGAGGGGATGAAAGAGCAACTCCTGGTCAGTGCTTCAGGAGAAGGATCAAGCTCATCATCACTGGGTGTGTTCTTAGATAACCTTTTTTATTCTTGCCATCCACACACGTGGATACTGTGGTACAGTAAAAGGCCATATGAGAGGTGTTGGACTGTGTAATACAGCCATCCTATGTGTGACCTTCTCTGTCAGCCCGTTCACCCAGAATCAGAAGGAAGGACTCTAGCTAAGATGTTTATTTCACAGCTCTAGGTTTTGGCATATAATGCTCCTTACATTTAGTCTGGTTCACTTTGGTCAAACTGGCCCAAGACTTTGCACAGCAGCCCCTGGTTGAGTTTGTCAGAGATAGGACTAAAGTGGATGTTCTCTTAGTGACAGTTAGCATAAACTCAGAGTTCTCCTGTTGCAAGATTTCCACTGCACCCGACTAAATGAGCACTTATTATATATACAGTAATGTTACAAAAGACAAGAAGACTTGTTTCACGGTGTTCCTGAACAAACTAATAGACTTGTCACTCAACACCCTCGACAGCATGTATCGGTATCTCTAGTGATAACTATCCCAGTTTGTCCTTATTCCTTCATTCTGCCTGTTTTTCTGTTCTGAAACAGTGTTCACCTTTAAGTGCCTCTGATCCAGGTTTCACACGCACCATTCCTGTTACTGTGTTTCAGTGCTTGTGACTTTCCAAGAAACATACAGTACTTGCCGGTGAAATGACAGTTAAAATTAGACTAACTGGCGCCATCTTGTGGCATCAGATAGCACACTTCACTTCAAGTTGAAGCAGACGTCACAGTCAGGTAAAACTTCTCCAGTGTGTTCATGTGATTTGTCTCTTGACCAAAGCTCTAGAAGCTCACTCACTAACTCACCTACTAGATAAGTCCAGTAGGTGTAGTTTGGTGTTTCTGGAGTCACTCCAGAGGTTTGGCCTGTTACCTGTGAACACATAAGCCCCCCTCCATAGCTTTAATTTATCCACAATAAGTTCTGTCACAGTGTCACCTCATTCTGTCAGATTATATTCCTTCAGTTTTTCCTGAAGCAGAAAGAAGCCGATATGCAGCACAGAAGAAGATGTGAGAAAGCACAGAGAGGATCTTTGAGCTTCCATGTCCCAAGCTTAAGAGATAAACCAGGAAACCAAGTCACTACAAACTTTTCCTGTGAAATCACAAAGGAGGAAATGGCCTTTGATCGCCTATTCTTAAACCAGCATCTCGTGTATATTTGAGCTATTCTGTTTCCTAACTTCTGCTCCTTTGTCTTTCAAGTTAATCAGAGTTAGTATATCAGATTTCAGCAGACCCTTTACACTCTTAATTCAGAGCTTTAACCCATATTGTAGTGCAGACTATTTACAGAGGGGTATTGCAACATTGTCAGTATTAATACATGTTTGTGTTGTTACATGTTTGGATGTTTATTTGGCCATTGACTGGCCGGTTTTTGGAGTGTAAAGATGGAAATCAGAGGAAAGAACTTAGTAGCTTGTTCAATGCACTTTTATCATGGGAAGTTTCCATTTGCAGCACCGTTCTGAGGGCTTGGGTCCCTCGAGAAAAGAGAAGGGTGCAACGAAAGTGTGGTGCAGAAAAAACATGGTGTGTAGAGGAAAGAGAAACAAAAGGGCAAGTGAGGGAAGAGACTCCGGCTGGACCGCTGGAAACACATTATTAGTCAGTCTGTTGAATGGCTCTCCTGCTTTGGTGTGTTTATAAAAAAAGAGGGGAAGGGATGCGGGGTGTTTTCTGTCACCACATTTCTGTCATTACATGCACATGGCGTCGACCTGCATGACTAGAGACGGGTGCACAAAGTGTGACGTGTTGACTTTATCCTTTAACAGAAAATTGCTTGCATAATGGAACACACCTGTTCCGCCACAATTTGTACTGCCTGAGAAAAGTTGCACCCATTCTTTGAGGTTGTATAATTGTGAGGAGTCAGTATTTTTATGGATGAAAAAAAAGCATCCTCTGCCGAAAGATGTACAGTTGGAGAAAAAAAAAAGCATTTTGTACACCATTCTTGATGTTTGAGATAAGATTAAAAAAAAGTTGAAAACATTGAGGAATGTTCCATTTTCCTGTAAATTGTACCTCTATTTATTTGCCTTATTTAGTTTGCTATATTTTGTATGTACACACAGCATTACAACAAAATGTTATATTAAAAATATGAATAATTAAACTGTGGTCCGTGTATGATGGATAGTTCTGAGACTTGTATAAGAATGAGAATTTTTTTGTTCTTTGTTTTTTTCATTTCTATAATTTTATTTTTGTTTTGTATTTTTTCTCACCCTGTGTCTTTTGTAGGGTTACAATAAACTTTCGTCCCTTACAAGTGATTGTTTATTCTCTTCTTCCCTGTCATCTCTTGAGACAAGTGTTTGAGTCACAGCCGCAGTGACATAGAAGGAAATGAATGTAATGTGCTTGTACAAGAGGAGAGAATCATTTGTACATGTTCAGAGTATTTAGTAAAATCTCAGACCATCAGTGAAGATGCTTCTGTTTTGATTTTAGTTCCAGATGATATATCAGCTCAACAATTTGACTAAAAAGGTGAAAATATGTCCATCAATGTCAGAATCTCTCAGTATCTTTACCCCCATTAGCTTTAATTACAGCAGCACTCAATCAGCACAGAGTCCAGCAGTTTGTTCCAACCTGATAGTTTATGTTCTCCCAGCATGATGTGACAATGTTCTAAAGCTTCTTGACATGTAAGGAATGTGACAGTCAGCACTCCTTGGTCTTCTTTGGTCTTCAAAGCTCTGAGGTGTGTTTGGACTCATTATCCTGCTGCTGTTTAAATCCTTCTCCACAAAGATGGAAACCAGAGGATGGAGAATGTCTCTGAAGAATAGACTGCTGCTGCTTCTTGGTCAGGGTGGAGTCAACACGAAAAACAGTGAATTGGGTAAGTAAAAATGCAAAAATTAATCAATAGCTTCTACCATGAATACTGTACATAAAATCCATTAAATATTGCACAGCACAGATTTGCTCAGAGTCAGACTGTGGGTGCAGTGAGTCTATGGATGCACCCATAATCAGAGGGGTGCATCGTTTTATTTACCAGTCTGATAGCAGTCAGGTAGAAGGTCTTGGTGAATCCAACAGTGCTGCTCCATAGACTGCAGTATCTCTTGCCAGAGGGCAGGAGGGTAAACAGGTGGTGACAGGGGTGAGTGGAGTCATTGATGATGCTGGAAGCTTTTGATAGGCAGTGTTTTTGGGCCTTGTCTTCAACAGGTGGCAGTGTGGACACAATAGTTCTTTCAACCCCCAGGAGCTTTGTGTACTTAGCAACAATGCCATGATGTAGAATGAGGTGTTCATGGGCTGATTTGTCCTGAAGTCAATCACAAACTTCTTTTGCATCAGTCTGCAGAAGGTTTAACCTCCTTTTTCTGCCTTCTCCTCACTGTCCTGGATGAGACCCACCACTGATGTCACTTGCATACTTTATGATGTGGTCTGTGCTAAACTTTGCACAGCAGTCGTGTGTCATCAGTATGTATGACAAGGTTCTCAGGACACATTCTTGTGGAGAACCAGTGCTCAGTAAAACTTTGTTTGACGTGTTATTTGCTACCTGTAGAAACTGAGGCCCGTCTGTGAGGAAATCCAATATCAAATTGCACAGTGTTCCCAGTTTGTTAAACATATGCTGGGAGATTATTGTGTTGAATGTGGAGTTTAAATTAACAAACAGCATCCTCGTGTGTGTGCATTCTTGTTCCCAAGATGTTCCAGGTTCAGATGAGGTGCAGTGGATGTGGTGTCCTCAGTGGAGCGATTTGGNCAGGTTCAGATGAGGTGCAGTGGATGTGGTGTCCTCAGTGGAGCGATTTGGCAGGTAGGAAAGCTGAAGTGGGTCAAGTGAAGGGCAAAGAACACATGTGATCTGATCCTTGACTAGTCTTTCAAAGTACTTCATTATTGTCGAGGTAAATGTTACTGGAAAGTCATTTTGGCTAGTGACTGTGGATTTTTTTGGAACTAAGATAATGATGTTCTGAAGCATGATAGCACAGTGGTTTGATCCAGCTGACCAGCAGGTTCAAACCCAGAACCTTCCTGGTGGGAGGTGACAGTACCACCTACTTCTCCACTGTGCCGATCATCACTGATTAAAATAATTCTTAATTGTAGCTTTAGACTGTGATTTTATGAACAGAATGCAGAAGCACATAAATAATAAATACATGTTGTATGGATACAGTGATTTCTGTGATACAACATTTAAAATGTACTTGAGACTGTCACCTTATATTTGCTTTGCATTAGACATTAGAATCTGTTATATGGTGCAGTAGCAGAAACATATTGTCTGTTTAAACATAATAATACATTGTAACATTGCTTCCAATAAGACGATGATAAAAATGATGATAAACATTACAATCAATATCTAGTCTCTTTCTGTTGTAGTTTCTAACTCTGACCACTGGAGGGCATCGAACCTTCATTACAACTGTCTACAGGCATGAACAAGAAACAATGAGGCTGCTGAAGTCAAAATATTAAGAGACAATGGTGTTTCCTGCACCTCTACTTGTGGCATTACATGACAATGTACTCATTGTTTATGATACACAAAGATACGATGGACATTGACATGATTATTTATATGATATATTACGTTCCTCTCCTTTGTTACTGCTTAACAGCAAGTATTGTTATAATTTATATGACCCAGTAAATGTTGTAGAAAATATGTTTTTTAAATAATGACAAAACCACCAGTTCCATCACAATGTATTCAATGACACAAGATAACAAGACAAAGATGTTTCATCAGTAACCATCATTTCACCTGATTTGCTCAAAGTGTTGACATCATTGATCACACAAACAATTTTGAAAAGCAATACAGCAATGATTCAGCAGTTTTCTACATTTAACACAGTTTATATATGAATAGGAAGATCACATTTCTCCCCTTGATAAAATGATGAAGAGAAACTTTAAATGTCTTATACTGAGAACAATAACTCTGTTGTTTCTGTACTGATAAGAATAAATGAGTCCTGAACTGAGGCCGTCTGACAGATCAACTGTGAATGAATGTTGGTTAAAATGTGCAGCAAGGATATGATTCAGATGTTGTATTTATCTATTTACAATCTAATGCTGTCTCCTTTACAGAAATCAAGANGGTTGTCTGTCTCTAAGTGTAGCCCTGTGATAGACTGGTGACCTGTCCAGGGTGTCCCCTGCCTTCACCCTAAGTCAGCTGGGACAGACTCCAGCCCCCCGCGACCCTAATGAGGATTAAGCGGTGTATAGATAATGGATGGATATTTATAGATGCCACTGGTCAAAACACTCCACAGAAAATGATGAGGAATGATGGATTCAGATGTTCCCACTTCAACCACGGCAAGACATAAAAGTGCTGGTGAGCCCTTTTTGACAAGAGAGGAAGTGTGTAGAGACCAGATTAGGTTTTCTGTCACCTGACCCCCCAGGAGCTTTGTGTACTTAACAACAATGCCATGATTTAGAATGAGGTGTGCATGGGCCGATTTGTCCTGAAGCCAGTCACAAACTCCTTTTGCATCAGTCTGCAAAAGGTTTAACTTCCTCTCTATTTGCTTTTTCCTCACTGTCCTGGATGAGACCCACCACTGTTGTGTCATCTGCATACTTTATGATGTGGTTTGTATTAAATTTTACACGACAGTCGTGTGTCATCAGTATGTATGACAATATGCTCAGGACATTTTCTTGTGGAGAACTTAAAATAAGATGATGATGAAAATGTTGATAAACATTAAAATCAATATCAAGCTTTTTTCTGTCGTAGTTCCTGACTCTGACCACTGGAGGGCAGTGAAATGTCATCACAACTGTCTACAGGTGTGAACAAGACACAACACTGTTGAGGTCAAAATATTAAAAGACACAGTGGTGTTTTCTGCACCTCTACTTGTGGCATTGCATAACAATGTACTCATTGTTTATGATGCAGAAAGATACGATGAACATCGACATGATTATTTATATTAGTGATGCACGATATTAAAATTTCTGGCCAATACCGATATCCGATATTAAGATTTCTGATATTGCCGATAACCGATATTACTGATGTTAATATTCAATTTTTGTTCACATCAAAAATGAGTATTAGTAAGCACTATGAGAACATGAAAACTACTCAAAAGAAGCCCATACCAAATTAGACCACATAGTCTTCTTTACTGCGTAACAAAAGTAAAGCAAATTTAAACATATTTTAAGATATTTAACTTCAAGTCCAGGACCATTTAAAACAAGGTTTTGACTGAAGCAGCTGCACACAATCGTTTCATTTTGTGTGGAAGAAGAGTCACGTGACACGTTAAACGCCCCTTTTTATGTGAAGGCGCACAGTGTCTGAAGCAGAAAGTCTGAGTTGGTAAAGAAAGTTGACAACCACCTTCATGATACGCATAATCTCTGGCTGGGGCTTTCGGTTTTGTCGATTCGGCTTACACAAAGAAAGCCTGGCTATGTCAAACTTGCTTCGTAGTACAGCCCTCTGGTAGCATATATCAGAGTGGCATGTAAGGCGTTTAAGGAACATCGGTAAAATGTACTGATATCAGAAGAGGACTGGTGACAAAATAAATATATTTTCAGATTAAAACATTTTACAGATATCAAGTTTTGTAACACTGAAAATCATTGCAACATAACTAAGTTATGCAAAAACAACTATTTATCAGCTGCATGGTAGATTAATAGCTGTGGCAATGCTGAACCAACAAAATATGGGGTGGGTGACCAAATCGTTAGCTGGTGCGACCAATGAAGAAAGTTGCTACCATTGGAAAAGTTAGTCTGGAGCCCTGCTACATATATTTTACTTTACGTTAGGCATGCACAATATTTGTACATAGAATAAACAATAATCAAATGCAGAGACAATTATTTACCAATATGTTAAGGAGTCGTTACATTTATACAGTCACTACAGTGACATACAATTACAACTGGCCCTTTGAGGGCAAACATAATGCTTATGTGGCCCAGGATGAAAATGAGTTTGACACCCCTGATCTACAGTGTCTCAGGTACTTCATGTACACCAGAAAGAAGTGAGAAGATCCTTGTATTTAATCTTGATCTTGTCATTTGGTAATCTGCAGACTTACTTTAAATGTGAGTACAGAAAACATCATAAATAAAGATTTAGTTTATCTGTGAAAGGTTTCCACAAAATCAAACTCTTGAGAACAGAAATAGTACCAATAGAAGAAGACACCTACCTTGAATGCAGTAGTCTCTTATACGTGTAAGAGTCGTCTCTGCGTTGAAGTTCTTCTTGATTCTTTTCTCATTCTGTAT